TAAACCCTAAACCCTAAACCCTAAACCCTAAACCCTAAACCCTAAACCCTAAACCCTAAACCCTAAACCCTAAACCCTAAACCCTAAACCCTAAACCCTAAACCCTAAACCCTAAACCCTAAACCCTAAACCCTAAACCCTAAACCCTAAAACCCTAAAACCCTAAAACCCTAAAACCCTAAAACCCTAAAACCCTAAAACCCTAAAACCCTAAAATCTTACAACCCTAAAAAATGACGTCATTTCCAGAAATGAAAAAAACCCTAAAGCCCTAAAACTCGATTTTTGATTTTTTTGCAGATCCTGAAAGCGCATAGCAAATGTGACCGAAATCCAACACATAAACTGCCTCTGCGACCCCAAAACCCCCTCTTTTTCACCCGAAAACGCAAAAAGATAACGTTATATCCGAATTTTTCGGACACCCAAAAATTTTGAAATTTTAACGGCTACGCAATTTTGCAAATAGCTTGAAAGGCCATAGCGGGCGTTGTAGATCTCAGAAAGCTCGAAAGCCCGCCCTAGGGTTTTACGCATTAATATAGGGCCTAGGGAGCCTTTGATACTCAGTGGCATCGTAATTCCTTCCGTAGTATCGAATATATAGCACAAACTTTTGCGATAAGATACAATTATACTAAATACTTGAACGCGACTATATTTTATTTTTGAATGTACGTCAGATCGAGACAAGGCCGGTACGTAGCTATTGTACGCGCCGCGCGTAACTTAGGTGACGACCAATAATGCGCGATTGACAAGTAGCTTAATTTAATACATGCGCATGTTGATTTAATATTATGCATGACTCCCCACAATTAGCTATTGAAGTAAAAAAAGACTTCATGTGCCAAAGCTATAGTTCGACGGTAGTTATCCCGAGACGGTGCTCATGCACAATTAACTGATATTGTATGAGTCACTAACTTCGTTGCATGACCGGACGAGTTCCACTCGCAACGATTAGTGACGAACACAATGCGATAGAATTGATCGAACTCGCATCGGGTTTGCAGCCACTGAGCTTTCTAGCTTGTACGTGCGTATATTTTACAATGAACTTAAGATAGGGCTTGAAGGAACCTACTAGGCTACGTATAGCTCGAGTTTGCTTGGGCACTTTTGAATACTTAAAGAATTGAGCCTCATATGCATGCAGCGCCACTCAGGCTGGCACCGTCGAAATTGATGCAACACATACGAGACTCAAGAATGGAATCAGTGGCTGCAAACCTTCACGATTAAATTGGCCCAATCCTGGATATTTGTTTTCGATGTTCAGCAATGACCAACAACTCGGCGCGACACGAACAATCACTTGGTGTTGCGGTGGCGGGCTAATGCCCATTCTGCAAGCTGGTCCCTCCATTTGCTATAAGGTCTCCCTCCAGTTTCCGCCCGGTCTTGCAAGCGTAGAACCTCCTGTACAGATCGTCCACTTTGGTGAGATAGTACGTCCCTGGGTACAGGCAGTCTGTCTGCGCCTCGGGCACAAAGTCGTTGGCGCCGTACCGCCGCTCCATCAGCTCTAGCGTGCTTGCAAATTCCGCGGGCTCCACCTGCAAAGCACCACAAGTGTGCGACATCAGCGCACACAGCGACAACCCAACGGGCAGAAACTTAGCAGCACAACGTCTTTCAGAGGAGTCGTTGTAGGACAGCTCTCCTACCCCTAAGGATATCGTACTTCATGTACGACGTTGTGGGAGCACCACCGCTTCCTGACACGCCTGCAGGGCCTTACCGTGGTCCGTGCCGCGAAACGCCCCTCAATATCTAGCCGCTCCACGATGCCGGGCAGGCTGAATTTGCCAGCGGTGTCGCGCGCGGTGAGCGCAAACAGTGTGGCCGCCAGCCCGCTCCCGTATGAAAAGAGCAAGAAGCGCGTGCCCGCCTGCACACACCGCTACCACTGCGTCAGGAACGGAAAAGCAGGCACAGCAGGCAGGCCCAGCTGAGAGCGATACACGCGTGTGCCAGGCTGCGCCCTCCAGAGCAGTGCGGCAGTGCGGGCGTGGCGCTCACTGGGATTGCGCCGCGTGTGGTGTGTAGGACGGAGGCGAGGCTGTTGTACAGGGACGCGGTGTACATGTTGCCCGTCTGCTTCGGGATGAGCGTGCCCGCCGCCACGCGCTGCCCGTACCCCGCACGCGACGCCGCCACCGCAGCCTGCCACCAAAACAACACGGCAGAGTGGCTCAGGCACGGAAAATAGGAATACACCCAGACTATGCCGAGGGAGCCTGCGGTGGCAGAGAGCAATGTTGCGCCCTTTTCTGACCGAGCCTGGTGCAGCTGGCCGCATAGTGTGCCCTATGTGTGCTATCGCCCCGCTCCGCCCCCCCGAGTGGGTTCCCAAACCGCACCTTTTCTAAGTCGCGGTCGGTGTAGCTCGCCTCCAGCGTCACGTCTTTGAACGGCGCCAGCGCGGCCTGCACGTCGGGCGGGCCGGCTCCGCGCGAAAAGTCCTGGTACACCAGGCGGGCGTAGCTCTTCTGCACCAACTGCGCAGCAGCACACCACGGGCCACGGTCATCAGCGCAGGGAGAGCAGCACGGCAGGGCGCCAGAAGCGGAGCCCAAAGGAGAGAGCCCAGTACGACCAGAGCGGACATGCTCCGGACGTGGGCGTCCACACTGCCGCTAACGGAGTGCTTCTGGCGGCTTGCCTTTGGGCACCGTGCACCACGGATGCCCCGTCAAAAGCCTGTCAGCAGCAGGAAGGGTCACGCCCGAGGCGTGGCGGGGCAAGGCTGACCTTGTTGTAGGGCGAGTGGAAGCAGACGTAGCCGACATGCTCCAGCGAGAACGCCTCCCCGGAATGCCGCTTCTCGTACCTGCACCACCCAGTGCGAAAGGCGATGAAACGGGGCGCACGTTCAGGAACACCAGCAGAGGGAGGTGAGCAGTCATGCTGCTTCGCACGACCTGTGTCATCAGGCACTCTGTGGCCAAAGCAAGCTGGGGCCCTGTGCGGCGCGGCGTGCCTCACTTGGCTGCGAGGCGGGTGTAGCACTTGTCGAGCGCGCTCAGGTAGCACGTCTGCGTCAGCTTGCCGTCCACCACCTGCGCAGGGGCCCCCAAACCACGCCAGGGTCAGGCCACCTACGGCGGCACGTCCTAGACAAGGCACGAAACATGGAGGCACCAACATGCTTGAGATACAACAATGTCTGAGCGCCTTTCGTTGTTTCTCACTGAGAAACGTCGATGGCTTCCTCGACTCAGCCAATCATCTGCTAGACTGTATCGCCAGTGCCAAAGTCGAGCGCCAGCCTCTGACCGGGTATTCGGAGGCGAGCTTGGGCTTGTAGAAGTCGTAGGTGTGCGCCATGTGCGTGGCCGTCAGGCTGCGATCCAGCGGCAGGGGGGCGTCCGGCCCAATCAGCATGGCCACAGCGCCAGCGCCCCCGGTGGGGCGCGCGTTGCCCGCAGCATACACCTGCCAGCACAAGGCAGCACATGGCAGCTCAGGCACGCAGCGCCTGATTCCCCGCACAAAAGGTACAGCATGCTTCCACTCAGGAACCCTGGTGCGCGGACCCCCTGCTGGCCTGTTTTATTGAATGCACAGGATCACTCAACGGCAGGCAAGCACGGGACAGCTCCCAGGCAAGGCGCACGCTTCAGCCCTGCGGCACCACCAAGTGACTCCAGAAACAATAGGTGGAGCCGGGGAGGGGGGGAGCAGCTTACTGCGCTGTCGGCCGCCACCACAAGGCCGTAGCGACCGTCCCAGGCGGTGCTCTCTATCCAGTTGACCACGTTGAGCAACGCCGCAGTGCCCCCATAGCACGCGTTGCACGAGTCCACGCCCTCCACGTCCTCGTTGCCACACGCCTGCGCCAGGCCACACACAACCATGTCAGGCAGAGGCAGAAAGCAAGCGAGGACAATTGCATCGCGGCAGCAACACCATGCCAGACATGCACCAGCATAAGTCACTTGTGGAGGCGGTAGTGCCGTGCGGGGCAGTCCGCACCTCAAAGAGGGGCATGAGGCAGGTCTTGATGGACTTGCACTTGTCGATGACGGTCTCGCTGCCCACGTCGAGGCGCCCAATCTGCGCGGGGTCCACGCCGTACTTGTCCAGCAGGTTCTGAACCACCGTCAGGCTGCGCGCATAGACAGCAGAAGGGGGGGCATAACCAAGGGGAGCAGATGACACAGAGAGGCGGGCAGAGCCCTCGCACGACGAAGGTGTTCACATCATTCGAAGTTGAGCCCTCCAACCTTGAGCTGCCCCTACTAACAGCTGAAAGACCCCCTGCTAGTTACCTCTTTTAAAGGTGCCACCTTGTAAAAAGAAGAGCAAGATAGCAACTCACTAAGTAATGGCAAAGCAATCAGAGCAGCCAGCGAGCGACTGCGGCTACAGACAAGGAGTGGGCACCTCATGGAGATGACGTCCTCGTTGTCGCTGCAGAAGGCCATCGCGTCCTGGCCCAGCCCAATGGTGTACTTGCCCGCGCTCACACCGTCATGCGCCTCCAGCGCAGCCTGCACCACCCACACCAGCACCAGTTAGGACACCGCAGAGTTAGGAACTACTGCCTGATGCCCGCATGGTCGATGGAAGCCCTGCCCTGAGCTGTGGCGTGCGGACTGCCCCCACCACCATCCCTGAAAAGGATGGTTGCTGCTGAAAGTACAAGTGAGGGGGAAATGGGTGATCAGGGGCATGGTCCTGAGATCCCCTATCTTAGGGAAACTGTGGATCTTCAAGATCAAAACGTGGAATGCCCAAGCTTTTTCGGCCAGCCTCCCTGCCCATTCATGAGGCGCCAACTTCTCTGAAACAAACTAGCCAGCTTGACTTTCGCTCTTGAAAGCTCGATGACTCTATCGCGGCAGCCCGACCACCAGCGCCCCGCCTGCACCAGCTGGCCCTGAGCTGTCCATCAGGGTGTGCCACGCGGCGTGGTGTACCTGGAGGACCCTGCTTGCCGGGAAGTAGACCTCCAGCGCCAAGATCCCCACATGCTCCGGGCGGCCCGCCATCGCCGCAAACGAACAAGCTGGTTCAGATGGCGAGTCTTCGCTGCCCAATTCTCAAAGCAACAACCCAAGGATAGATCTGTGGTCCAAGCAACGCTTGGTATCGAGCGCAACTCTGTTGTTTTGCACTCTTTCAAGACCAATTTCACCAGAGGATTGCTAGTAGGAACGATGGAACGGCTACTGAAGACAGATCTGGCCGCCTCAATTGGCTTCAAAATCTTTCTAGCTGAACTGGTTTTTTTTTGCGCTCTCCTATCCAGTTTGAATTCCTGGATCTAAGCAGCAGTTTAGGATTTTAGGGTTCACGGTTCACGTACCTGAAAACCCTCAAAACCTAATTGAAACAGAGGAGCACCTGACCCTGGGCCTCACTGAGTCTGACTCTTGATCAGCCAATGGCGGTGCCTGCACCAATTGATCCTTGTTTCGTTCCTAAGCTCAACAAATCCTCACATGAGCCATGTGATATATGTTAGGGACGTCTCACATAGGACTGCTTTAAGGCAGTTGACTCAGCTCCTTAGGCTTCAGCGGAAGCTTATGCTTGAGGAAATTGATAGTAGTTGAATGCTGTTGCTTTAGCCTCTACATTGCGAAGGGGGTGACGGTTTCAAACTGTCATCAGGCGCGCTATTGGCTGGTTCACTGGTGTCTTGTGCAATTCAGAGTGGCCCAAAGTGGCATTTCGGCCATGGCTGGTGCTTCTGTCTGCTGTGTGGCCCAGCCCGCCAGCTGGTGCGTGCCAGGCACTCTAGGGAGTCTCTCGGAGGGGAGCCCATGCCACCACCCAGCAGGTACAGCGGGCGGATCCCACTCTTCCCCCTTGATGCGAAATATGTTTCATACACTTTCGGCATGCCGTCGATCAAACCCATGTGGCCAGGGAGCAATGTCTGGGTAAGGCGGTTCCTCTTCAGATATCTCAATCGCACTTGCCATGGCCTTCCAGGGCCAGCCTGTGCTGAAAAGCGGGCGGTCCTCATCCCAGCATTGTTCCTGCAGCTTCCTCGTCAGCCCACGCCACGCTGCCTGGTGGGGGCGTTGCGTGGCGCCTCCCGTCCTTGCCCCAGACTACCCTCCCTGCCTGTCTCTCCGTCCCTGTGGGGGGCCATCAGCGCAGGTATTCCCGTCGGTTAGCGGTGCGGGGCTCCGTTGAGAGCCCCGCTGTCGTCCCCCCCCCGCCTGTGGCCCCTGCTGCGCCTGCGTGCATCGTGGCCGTGGTGGGCGCCAGCGCGGCCAGCCCACTGCAGGGGGAGCCCTGGACAGCGGTGATGGCGCACATGGCCCAGCGCCTGCTCTGGACGGACCCCGCCTTTGTCATGCACGTTGTGCGGGACACTGACCTGCCCCCCATTCCTTCTAGCCAAGGCAGCGCCCCCCCCATCGTGGTGGTGGTGGGTGTGCACGACGATGCTGTGGGCCAGCGGGTGGTGCAGCGCTATGCTGAGGCGCTCACGCTGATGGCGCTGGACTGCGGGCCAGCGGTGGAGGCAGCGGTGCGCCTGGGCGGCTCCTTCCAGCACCCGCGCAGCGCCCTGGCGGGCCTGCTGGCAAAATTGCCTTGGGGCCCTGCCGCTGCGCGGCGCCAGCTGGCAGCCACCATTGGCAGCGCGTGGGGGAGGAATCGCGCGGACGATGTGTTGTTTGGGCTGCTGCTGCTGGTGGACGCGTTTGTGCGGCCGGTCCCGCAGCTGGCGGGGCTGCGCGCGCAGGACCTGGGCACGCTGCAGAAGATGGCGACCAAGTGCGGGCCGCAGATATGGGCGTGCCTCACCGACGCGTCCTGCAAGCAGGCGCTGGACTGCCTCAATGCATGCCCGCCAAACGACCAGGTGTGCATAGGACCTCACAATATCAAGCTTTGACTAATACGAAGTTGCTAACGGGTTTGAAGTCGGATTTGGCGCTCGTATCCGTGAGCGGTTTGGTTAGATTACAATCGTACTTCAGAGCGCGGACCAAAGAAAGAGGTTGGCCTCAGATTGCGGCAAATCAAAGAATACAAGTGGCTCGATCTCCAGCCCGCTTTTGCGTGTTTGCCTTTGCTGCGTTCGAACAGTGCGTGGGAGCCCCTCAAAAATTCTGCCCACATTTATGCTGCTCGCTGGAGCGATCGCAACAATCTTATAGGGCGGTTACAAAGCTGATACTCTGCTTCTTGGACGACTGTCCTTGTGTGCAAGCCTTGCATCGTTTACCAACTTGCATCACTCGAAAGCCCTGCTTCGCGCTGTGTTGGTTCCCTGGGAGTTCGTGTTCCATGTGGCCCCTGACCGTGTGCCCTCCTGGCGTGCTGTGCCAGGTGTGCAGCTACCGGTGCATTGTGACGTACGAGAGCCCCCTGCTGGAGGCCTTCTCGCTGTGCGTGCTCCAGAAGCACAACTGCCTGGGCCTGCACGCGGAGCCGCCCGCCCTGCCGGCCGTGCAGCCCATGGCCGCCTTCCGCGGGCAGCCCCTGACGCACACCGCGGCGGAGGACATCTTCGTGGGCTGGCTGCGCGACCCTGCCCGGCAGCAGGCGGGGCGGCTGGCGTGGAGCTGGCGCGTGGTGGCTGGGGTGAACGCCGCATACGACAGCTTCCCCTGCCAGTACCAGCTCTTCTACCGGGGCAAAGCGCGCAACAGCCTCTGGTGAGCTGGGCCGTGCCACGCGGGCCCTTGCGGGAGGAAGTGGATGATTGTCCCGAAAAGAAGCCTGCATGCCCTGCAGGTGGAAGAAGTCTTCTAGTTTCTCGAACGAAGTGCTGGGCGTTGACCTGGCTGTTGTTGCCGAGACGAACCTTGTCCCGGATCGAAAAGCTATTCTGTTCTGCTCAGCTGCAAGGGGGAAACAGAAATGGTTCAATCGTGTTACACCTCCTTTCGAGGAACCGTCTCCTGTTCCTGCTTTAAACTGGGTCACTCGTTGCGGCCGCGTGACGCGCCTGTGGCCCTCTCCTCGTTGGCAGGTACGACCCGGTGTTCAAGGTGCAGAAGCTAGACTCGGGGGAGGTGGTCTGGCGCCGCCGCCACTACCGTGTGCGCAGGGGGGATGCGCCAGGGACCTTCTACTTCTCGGTGAGTGGGGGCGATTGGGCATCCTTCGATTGTTAGACAAGAGGAGCACTCCGATCGGACTCTCGGCTCATAGAACTGCTCATCTTGATGCAATTCCAATTTGCATTGGACAGCCATCATCTAAAGCGCTTCGACCGACTGGCTGCTTGTTGCTTTGTCCGAAGGTGAGAGCATATGCATCCCTTCAGTTCGCAAGTGTAAGTAATGAGTGCACATCATGCCCTCCGAAACAAGTGAAGGCACAGGAATATTACGAAGCAACATGCTAATTTTCGACCCGCAAGGTCCTCGACAACGGCGTCACCTCCAACGAGTACTGGCGCATCGTGGACTGCCCGGACGACCTGTCGTGGGCGCTCTTTTACTACGCGGGCGCGGCCGCGGCTGCCGGGCAAGCGTACTCGGGGGCGGTCCTGGTGACCCCCGACGGCGATTGGCCGGGCAAAGAGCAGGAGGAGCGGCTGTGCGCGGCGCTGGATGCAGCAGGGATCAAGCTGTGGGAGCTGTACCGAGTCGACAACAAGAGCTGTGACGGGGCACCGTTGGACATCAGCTCCAAAGAATTGTCACCCCAGGGCGTCGAATCAAGTCTGTTTGAGTCGTAGCGGTATGTGTTCGTTGGAGCTGATGTCTCTACTTGCTTGTGCCGCATACTTGGGATGCGCCATTGGTGAGAAGAAACTGTTCTCCCGACCCCTAGTGAACCTGGAGGGCTTTTCATGAATCGAGTTGATAGATGAGAATGCAAATGTGGCGTCTGAAGCCAACACGAATACCTACGGGGCATGCAAGTCTTTTTGGCACGGGGTGTCAAAGGGGCCGGCCGAGCGAGATCCTTCTGTTGTCCGGGGGGAAGTCGTCGAGCAGTTTTGGGGGCTGAACGGCGGCTTGTCCTGGGGCCGGCCACAAGAGTCGGATATCATTCACCTGCGTCTAGCTGGGAACATACCGTACTATATATCCAGATGTCGCCGGGATAATTACGTACTGCCAAGTGCTTCAATCCATCATTTCATCGATCGATCGCATGTTGAGTTTCATGAAAATTAAAATCCTCGGTCAATTATACTGGACTCGACCCCGGGACGCGAACGAACTAATTTGCCCGACCTCTCAAAGGGCCCTAAATATGATATTAAGGCCGTGCGCGCCCGGTCACATGCCGGATGCGTGTATAGCTCCCCGATTTATATAGCGTAATGACTATAAATGATTGCGCAGCGAATTGTCATTAGTTTGCTAGCGCGCATGCAATTATATAAACAAGATCGTATGTTGCAACGTCGTCAATTGAAAGCGCGTCGACGATGGCGCGCATGCTGGCAAGGTATCGATCTGATGTTAACTTCCAAACTATCAAATCAGGAATTGAAGATGCCATGCACTTCGACGTACTTTGAGCTCTAGGAAACAACTGTGCATGAGCTTTTAAAGCTCCAACGTGGTGTGCTCGGCCCCTGGCAACATGCATCATAAGGTGAACCGTCGTAACTTGAGTGAGTTGCATGAGTGCGCGGTAGCTAGCACGGCACGGTCCAACTTCGGCCGCGGCACGATTGGCGTCCATTTAGTATCTACTGCTACAGCTGCTAAACATAATCCGACTGAGTTGAATCTTGAAATATTCATCAATTCTGCCGGCACGAGCCTACTGTGAGCAGATCGAGGCACGCGATGAGGGACCGTCACATGTCCCTGGCACGCGCGGGGTCGTTTGATTAGCCAACTCAACCTGAGTACGGAGCAACAAAGCTGCGCTTACCGCCGCTGGCCCCATCGAAACTGCAAGTGTGAAGTCCTCAACTCAAATGTCCTGAAGATCAGCTGGCAACCATCATTGCCAGCGTGCTTGCGTGCAAGAGGTCGGACTCACTTTCTTCGGAAGCTCCAATGAAAATAAGTGCTCAACAGCGAATCTGTTGTAAGATCGAACCCAGAAGTGAATAGCGATGGTAGTGTGCATCTTCGGCCCCTAGCAGACGTGCCCCCTGTCGTACCCTGTCACTGCCTGTCGTAGCCCAGCTTGGACCAGCTGCTGGGAGCCGTCAGCCCCGGCTTCGGGGTGTGTGCCTGCCGGAAGCATCTAGTCGATCAGCGACAATCGCGCAACTGCTGGCAACTGGCTAATGCAACAAAGTATCTTGGATGCAGCGCTTACCAAATGTCAATCAGTTGAAGCAGCAGCCAGCACCAGCATGCAAGGTGACGAGCATCGAGGGAGGATTGTAGCCTTGTGATGGTCAAGGTGATGGAAGGTGGATGTACACACGTTAGCTAACTCAGACGGGGCATACACTCGCTGCTTAAGTTACTATAGAGTCGGCACCTCAAGTTTGGCTTTTAAGCCTCTGCTTAAACGGCCGGACTGTAAGGCAGCCCCTGCACAGCATGTGCAGGGCGGCCCTTACCCGCTGTCTAGTTCCATTCGACAGAGAGGAAGGCGGTGGGCCCAGCGGCGAGTGTGCGCACCTGCAGCTTGTCGAGCAGCTCTGCGGCGGTGGGCGCCGCGATGACGATGTCCCGGTTGACGGAGGTGACAAAGCCCTCAGCGACGGCGGTGTCGAAGAACGCGAGGAGGCCGTCGTAGAAGCCGGCCACGTTCAGCACGCCCACCTGCGGCCGCCACAAGTGCGCCAGCGGGCATCAGACAGCCGGCCGATCAGGCAGCAAACGCGCATGCAGCAATGCAAGGAGCAGAGCGAACAAGCTGCCACACACACGGGCCGAGCAAGAGGTCAGCCGCTTTGCAGCAACAGGGTTTGATTCCATCCGAGGAATGCCAGGATCCTGGCCGAGGCAGAGCCTGCAGGGGCAGGGCCGGGTGGTGGGGCCGCGTGCGCACCGGCTTGCTGTGGATGCCGAGCTGCGCCCAGGTGACCATCTCGAGCAGCTCCTCCAGCGTGCCGTACCCCCCCGGCATCGCAATGAAGGCGTCGGCGAGTGCCGCCATCTCGGCCTTGCGCTCGTGCATGTCGCCGACCACACGCTGCTCCCCGTACCCACTGCCGTCACCACTGATCTCACGCGGCTTCAGCGCCTCCGGAATGACGCTGTGAGGGGGCAAAGCGACAGGAATTGTGTAAACAGGCAACCTGTGAACCAAAGGGAATACGATAGCCATCGAAAACGAACCCGGGCCAAGCAATGCTGGAATTGGGCCTTCAGTGTAAGTAGAAAAGGGCGGGATAGGTAGAAGCTGGGTAATCTCTTGAGGGTGCACGCCTCTGAGTAATTGGATCCGACCGAGTCTTGGCTACGGCTGGGGAAAAGTAATGTGGGGAGGCAAAGGAAGAGGGGGGGAAGAACGGCGAGTGAAATCAACACCGAGCACTTGAAGTCAACCTCTTCAAGCTAGAGGCATGCTTGAAGATGATGGAAGGGCTCATTGAAGGGGGCAAGCACAAATACGAAAACATACATGAAGGAAGAATGAACCACCATGGCCACAAAAGATCCCTCAAGGCGCGACTGGCACTCTCTACAGTTAGCATATGCAAATACAGGGTCCAATCTCGTTCTTGCAGCCACCAAGCAGAGTCGTAACAGTGAACCTCCAGCCAACGGTGCACGGGCCTTGCAAGCGGGGGAGGGGACAAGGGCTGGTGCGATTACCCGATGACCTGTCCTCCTGCCTCCGCCACGGTCTTGCTGATGGCGCCCATGAGCCCCACATCTCCGCCCCCATACACTAGCTGAATACCTCGCCGCACCTGCCATCAAAAGCGTGGTGTCATACAGGCAGGGGCAGGTCTGTCCCAGGCTATTGGTTTGATAGCCTTCCGCTCTAAAAAGTGCAAGAAGCCACGGAGGGTCAAAAGCCAGCTTTCGTTGGGGGAAAACTGGTAAGCATACACCTACTTGGACTGATCCAGGTTACTATCTGTGAACTCTTTGCTAAGGTGAGGGAACTGTGAATACCAAGTGCTTTCCATAAAAAACCCCCAGTCACAGGATTTCCAACCAAAAGACAAAAACGGCCGCACCCCAGCAAACAGAGGCTTGTTCTCAGTATTTGTGTTTACCAGTATTACCCACAGCATAGTAGGACAGCAATGCACGTCCAGCAAAATGATCCAAGGGTGTGGACCATAGTCGTCATGAGGAACACTGTGCAGAAGCCGAATAAGCAGTAAACTTTACCTGAATTTGGATTGAAGCAATTATACATTTAAGGTGCTCCAGCGCAGGATATTTGGAAGTTGACATCTACATCGCCTCTGACAAAAGTTGCAGATTTCAACCAAAAGGTTGTCTCTTTGAGGGTGTTGTTCTTCTGAACTAGTCACAACACAAGTAGACACCGTGAGCTGCAATTGGCAGCCAGTGTGAAATTTTCATTTCAGCAAGGACAAGATGACAACCAAAAGGCACAAATTTTAGATCCGCCTGCCCACCATTTCCTGCCCCAGCTCCACCGCTGCTTCTCGATAGCTGCTGCGCGCACCAGGCTTGGACCCGCAGTACACACAGACACGCGACAGCAACTGCCCACCGTCCTGCGGCGCTGCGGAAGCATCCTGAGCAGGCTCCGAGGCAGCCATGGCAAGGGCCAGCAGTGTCAGCTGCAGCGGTGGGGCATCACCTGACGCAAGGTACTGCTCGATGAGTAGTGGTGTGGTCAACAGCACACACAACTACCTGGGAACAAAGTGAAGAACAATGCGGCCTGTCTTACCAACACTACAGAAAAAACTTGGGAAAGACTTTGACAAAATGTCCTGTTCACCTTTCCGACTTTCCGACCACTGCTCATGCGTATGCGCTCAGCATCGCCAAAGTTAAAGCAGACTCAATGCTGGAATGGCGCGCTGCCACATCTGGTGCAGCTGGATTGCTAAAGAAGCGTAGAAGACGAAGGGGAATTGAGTAGGTAGCTGTCGAAAACAATGCACCTCCCAGGGCACAGATATTTTAACTTGTAGGGTGTACAAGCGCAGGCCCACCTGGAGGGAGTTCAGGAGTTCATTTTGGAGAAGTTGGCAGAGGGTTTCTTCGAATCAAGCTAGTCAGAATCGTACTAGTCTCTAGTCTCAAGTCTCGACTCAAATCTGACAGTGACATCAGACTAGCTGAAACGCTGCTTTTAGAGAGAAGCCCGAATCGACGGCCAGCATGATCCTACTCACAACTAGAGCGGCTTTTCAGAAGGCCACGTAGCCGTCCGCGCCTGAGGAGAGCCATAGCTTGTCTACTGCCGGTACCGTAGGATACCGACTCTGTTGATCAGTGTCACGACTGGAGAAGAGAAGAAGCGCATTGCATTGGAATAGGAGGCGCGGTAGGTGTTGCCTTGCAAGTTGCATAGGCAGGTCCTTTGTCTTCATTTGTCCTGCCCATACAAGCTGGGGTTGTGGGGTTGTAGACTCCCAGTTCAGAGGACGCCTCGACGGCAGAGAGGTATCTGCTGTCGTGTTTCAAGATCAGATCTGATTATAGTGGCAAGTCTGTCTTTCCCACTACGCTTGGTCTTTCGGTGGTCATTGTCAAGGTCGAGGTTTTGTGTCCCAGAAGATTACTCTTATACCTGAGGCTGCATTTGGGTAAAAGGTGTGTTCATCTGAGCAAGAGATACCTTGAGTTGTTGCTTCCGGGCAGCTCAGCTGAGGTCTTTAGGGGAGCTGTCAGGTCATGCGCACGCTCGCTCATAGGTGAAGCGTTGGGGCAAGAAAGCCAGAGGTGCATGCAGCAAAATAGCTAAAGCAGGAGGGAGTTGGCTGATGCCTGGTAAGAGACTCCGACTCAAGTGGCTCGTGTTTGAATCCACGGCTCTTCCTACCAATGATTTCTTCTTGCACGCGTGTCTTCTAACACATTGACCCAGAGCGGTTACCTCATATGAGATTGCAGCCTTCAGACAGTGGAAGGACCTACAAGTTGAACCCGCCTTAGCTGAAGTAGCAAAGGTCCCCGTCTTGATTCGTTTGCTGGCACCGCAAACCTCTGGAAATGTGGCTCACAGGTTTCTTTTGTAGCATCACCAGGTCAACTATCGTTATGCTCATTCTGCTTGTTGGTAGTAGTTATACTTTTAGGGTTTCGTCCGATTTTCTCTCAACTTCCATATGTCCATATGTGCCATATGTTCTACATATACACCTTTCTACATCACCCCGTCAGTATGCTGATGTGCCCCACGCTGAATGGCTTCGCTAATGTACGTGACATATATCGCCGCCCTTGAATCTGCTTACATGCAGTGGCCAGCTTTAGGGTGGTTGCATTAGCACTGGTCAAGCAGAGGTACCCAACTTGAGTTCCAAGTTCTTTGATGGTTTGTACTTTCTCACAATAGTGCACGTGCCCGCAGACTGTCAAGTGGCCATGTCTCTGGAGGGCCCCGCATGGATTCTGCGCCTGCACCAGTGACAGCGCCGCAACCTCCGCCACCAGGTAAGCCACATCTCATAAAATGAATGCAGTCAGGCATTAATCCAAAAATGGCCTTGTCCTTCCCATTCCATTAGCCATGCCCCAGTCCACAGTGTACCAAATGAACCAGTGCTCCCACAGACGGTGTGAACTCAGGCAGGGTCTCGATGCTTTGACGTCCAGTGCCACCGCTTAATACCCCCAAGTTCCTACTGGCCTTGCTTCTCGTCTCGCGCTCATTGCATTGTCGTCTTTGAATGGCAGACCCCGGACTGAAGCCTGAGGCTGCGGGGGGCCCTTCCGCTGCCGCTCTTGCTTCCCCGGGCCTTCCCCCCGGGCGGCCGCTGCCCTCCCCTCCTGCTGTGTCGGGGTCTTTGGCTGCCATTGGCGCGCAGAGCCGAGCGGCCGGGCTGGCCCGACCCCGGCGTAGGCCCCGGGGCGTACGGGGCGCAGGGCGGGCGCAAGCAGCACCCTGCCAAGCCCGTACCGCTGCGCCCGCCCATGGGCATGCCGCAGCAGCAGCCAATGCAGGCGCCGCAGCCAGGCCTGATGCGGGTCAAGCAGAACCCGGACGAGGATGGTGAGTCTAGCAAGCTTGTTGCGAGGGGGAGTGCAGGGCTGCAGGGAGCGTCCGTGTTTTCGCGCAAGGGGTCCGACTTTGAGCCCTAGGCATGACCACTGGCCTGACAGCATTTGAGATTCCACCTAAGTTTTGCAGCCCTCCAAGAAGGCATCGGCTGACGGAAACAAATCTTGCTAGCATCGTCGATCAGTGCGCCCCTCAAATCCAGAACCCGCTCTGGCATGTTGGGGCTAGGCAGCAACTTGGGTCTTGGCGGTTTGGGCGGACCTGCCATGCCGTGGCAGGAGGAGGCTGCGTTTCCTGCTTACAGCGGTGCTCACGGCTCCCCTGATCCCGTTGTGTAATGTCGCTGAGCAGATGACGCGAGCAGCAGTGACAGTGATGATGAGGGGCCCCACATGGTGCCTCAGCTGGGGGGCGCAAGCGGCGCGCTCTTGCTACCAGGGGCCGACGCGGGAGCCATGCAGCAGTATGCGGCTCAGCCCCGCAAGCGCGGCGGGGACAGGACAGAGGAGAAGGAGCGCAAGCGACTCAAGCGGTAAGCAGCCCTGGCGCTATGATTGCAGAAGGTGCAGGACGTACATCGTTGGGGAACAAAGATTTGCCCAGCTGTAAAAGCTGGCGCACGCAACAGTAGCTGCCAGGTGGCCATTCCGCTGGGGCAGGCTGTGCTGACGCACGTTTGGTTGGCGTGCCAGGTTGCTTCGCAACCGTGTGAGTGCCCAGCAGGCGCGAGAGCGCAAGAAGGCGTACTTAAGCGATCTGGAGACGCGCTCACGTGAGCTGGAGCAGAAGAATGCGGAGCTGGAGGAGCGTGTGTCCACGTTGCAACGGGAAAACTTCATGCTGCGCCAGGTGAGCGCCTATGACGGGTCTTCCGCAAGTGGATCGTTTTTCCGGACAAGGAAGATTTATCATGGGCTCGTTCAGATTGTGCACAATCTTTATGAAACCCTGAACTTCTCAAACAAGTGTGTTGGCGTTGTGCCAATAATTCAAGGTGTGACTGTTGAAGTGCCGTCTGACTGAAAAAGGTCATGCACCAACGTGCAGATTGTGAAGAACACGACAATGAAGAAGAGCAGTCAAGTGACGCCCTCAGGATGACCAATCTACCCGTGCCAAACAGCAAGAGCGAAAAGAGCTTTGCATACATTCCTGTCCCTTCTACTTCTTACAAGCCAGACGCTTTGGAGGACGTGCCTCAATCACCAATCGCGTCGCCTTGTTTGTAACATTTATCAGTTGGTCATAAGAGAAGGAAGCATACAGCTGCATCAACATGCGCATTAGAAAAGGTGAAAGCAGATAGTAGAAGATGTCGATCTCCGAACAAATATGGTGCTAATTCCCCCAAAACTGGCATGCCGTTGCCTTATTTGACAGTCGAAATCGGCAATTCTTTTGACGAGATATTTAGTCACGCAACCCATCTTGCCTAGTCGATTTCTCCAAGACCTAACATTCATGCGCAATCCAGAATATGCCCAAAAGATTCCATTCTCGCCACCTGGTATTCTATCGCTTGTTCTTGCGCGCACGATTGAGAATTGGACCTTTGTCCAAAACTTAGACCGTTTTTGAGTACTCACTATATTCGATATCTTGCGAGGCGGCCCGGGCGCGGGCGGCCAGAGTCAAAAGCCTCGTCACATAACTTATCGAATCATGCACCTGTATCTGATCGAAATTGGATCGCACGTCAAGGCGCTTACATATGCATTCAAATCATGCATGAAACACGCGTGCAGTATACACAATCATGATAATTATAACCTAGCTCGTTCAATCAAATGTTTCCGGCCAGCCGCTGTCATTGGCGGCGCGTCGCTATATAATGATAGAGCTAGGTATATGTTTAAACCGCCGACGCGTATACATGCAGATCGGCGCTGGTACGTATACTATTAGCATATGTTGTCACTATGTTGTGCCGCCGCCCCATGGTACATCGAACGAGCCGCAATCTCAGATCGCGATTGGCAGTGGCCGAAAGTGTATATCGTCGATCCGACGGAGCTATCATTCAATGGTGCATATATGCATCACAGTCCCTGTGATTGATCGCGTCCGACGTGACCGTTCACATTGTGTCCGACTCAGGGTGCATGCACTGCTGTGCATTGCGCGCGGCACCATATGATGGTCAAATATACTATATTAGTGCAAATCAATGCCGATCAGGCTGTGGACCAGTCATGCAGTGGAGTATTGCTAATGATTTGGCACAGATCGTGCGGTAACAAGCATATCTTATGCACTCAGCACGCGGCAAGTACAGGAGACTGTGCGGCAATCTGGAGACTCGGTCTTTCATCTGCTGTGACGTTGAGCTCGGTAATTAGTTGGTCAGCTTCAGGCTTTAATATCCCTTATGGTGCTCGGATGTGCCTCTGATCTGAGAAGTTGCGCACCAGCTGCACAACCGAATCATTCCCAGTCATCGGATAATTTTCGCATGGCACCTTTCAGCCCACCATGGCCCCTTCCGAAATCGTCACTTGCATGTCGCCTTGCCTTACACAAATCAAGCATCGTCAATTCGACTCGGACAAAATCTCGATTTCGTCTTCGCTATGTGGCAAGCTACGGGTCCCACATTAAAGCCTTGTGCTTGCCATGTCCTTCCGCAACAATGAACCACGGCTGCCCCTGCCTTGGCCCACCTTCGAGCGTATTGCGCTGCGGCGATGCTTGGCAGTGTTTAGAAGCCTGGCAGGAGCGCGAGGTCGAGGATGCCCTTGGGCAGGGCCGCGATGTCGCGCAGCAGCGCCAGCCGGTTGTGCCGCACCGCCTCGTCCTCCTGCACTCACCACACCCCACGCCCTCAGAGCGCGCCCTGTGCACGCAACCATCCCTGAAACCGAGCAGCAGAGGCGCTGGCAACAAGGAGCGGAGGTCGTCACGCTATCTCGAGCTTGACCGATCCAGATTTTCAGGATCATCATGAGGGGAGCGGTGTGAGTGGGTGCTCACGGCCATGACAAAGACGTTGCTGAAGAAGTCGTCGATGGGCTGCACCAGCGCCTCTGATACCGCAAACAGCTCCAACACCGCCGACTCTGCAGAGTCACAACCGCCGCGTCAGCCACGGCACACTCATGGGGGTCTTCACACAAGATTGCCAGCACTGCAAGATGCCGACAAGGCACAAGAGAACAACGCCGACGCGACAGCCCTGGGTTAGGGCACGTTGGAGCATGCGTCGAACCAATTGTCCGGCCCGGCCTGCCGGGAGAAGAAGGCTGTTGGAGCGGTGGCTTGCCTGGCCGCAGCTGCTGCGCGACGGTGGTGTAGGCGGCCAGCAGGGCGTGCTCCTGCTCCATCTCGAACAGGGACGAATCCACCTGCGGACATCACACGGAGCGCTCAGCACGCTGATGGCGGCAGGGCACCCAGACCGCATCTCCCCTTCGTCCACTGGGTAAGCAGTCCGTGGAATGGGTGAACAACCAGCTCGTCTTAGGAAACATAGAGGAGTCTGCGCGGTTGGGCGGCGGGGGCTGACCTTCCAGTCCGCGCCCACGTGCTTGGTCCGCGTTATCCGGGTGGGCCGCGCATACGCCGCCACAATGCGCTCCCGCACGCCGCTGTCCAGCGCCTCCATCTGCACCAACACCGCCGCGACGTCAGCAATGGTCCCGTCCGCCAGGCCACGCGGGTCGGGCGCCTTCTGGCGGTCTCCCAGTCGGAGACACGGGCCGGGGCAGGTGTGCGCTGTGCTGGGTGGGGTCAGGGCTCACCTCGCGGACTGCCTGCGCTGCCTGGGCCGGCACCGCGCCTCGCTCCGCCAGCGCCGCACGCACCACTTCCACTGTTGCGCCGCCGTCCACCTGGCACATTCACACAAACATGTTTGTTCGAACTTCAGGACAGAGAGACAGGGGCACAACCCAGGCTCATTTCCACTACACCAAGCGCGACTCTCAGACGCCTCCTCCGTAGAAAAGGTCATACGCACAAAGTTAGGAGGGCGCGCTTTATACCCAAGCCTCCGCCAGTGAGTTTCCAGGGGACGAGGCGTGAGTGCTCACGAGGTACTGCTCGAGCCGTCGCGTCACGAAGGTGTCCACCTCGGCGAGGGCTGTTTCAGAAACAGTGAGCGGTTGCTGCTCGGCGGCGAGGCGCAGGGCGGCGGGCAGCGCGAGGGGCACCCCGTTCTCCACCAGCGTCTGCACCAGGCCGTACGCCGCGCGGCGCAGCCCAAACGGATCCGCGGACGCGCTGGGGGCCTTGCCCACCGCAAACAGGCCCACCAGGCTGTCCAGCCTGCGTACAGCGCACACACGAAGTTACAACGGTCCCTGGAGTCGAGGACGCATGTGTCTTCCCCTTCAAAGGAAATAACGAGCGCGGCTTGCTTGCATACCCATGGTTTTCCCCCCTGTCTGCGAAGGCAGGCGGGACTTCTCCCGACGAGACCTCTCATCCGTTCACCTTGTCAACCGGGGTGCCGCTGCCTGCTCATGCAACGACCTCGGGACAGGACGGAAGACTTCGACCCTCGTTCTGAGGCGCTACCAACTTAGACAGCACTTCTGCTCGCATTATTCGTTGAGTGGATTGTGGGTGAGCTGCAGGCGGGGCCTTACCTGTCGGCGACGGCCAGCAGGATGCCCGCCCCCGACGCGGGGCACCTGGTCGCCGGCGAAGCGGGGGAGGACCGCCTCGAACACAGCGTCGCACACCTGTCAGCAGCAGCAGGCGCGTATCAGTCGAGTTGGCCTGGAGATTATCTTCAGCTGACAAGAGCCCTCTGACACATAAGCCAATACGAAGGTCGTTATATTTGGATGCATTTCGATCCCTTCGGCAACAATGTCGCGCATGAGCAGGAACGAGCACGGTAACTTCCACGCCGCGGTTGCACCATTCTATTCGACACAAGACGTAGTTCTGCGGCCGTACCGGCTGCGGGTGGCCCTCCATGTCGGCGTAGTGCCGCCCAATGACGCCTGCAAGCGACGTAAACTCGGTGACGACGGCGGTGGCCAGGTCCGCCTTGGCCATGGGCGCCGCCGCACGCGCCACCGCAAGGGCGTCCCCCTCTAGTTGCGCGGCCGCAGCCAGGCCCGGCAGGAGCGCCTCCTCGCGCTCGCTCTTGGCCAGCAGGCTGCCCAGCTGAGCCTGCACACAAGAAAAAAAGACGGACCTGGAGTCAGATCCAGAGATTGCTATGGAAATAACCGATTCCGAGGCGATGCAAGCGGGTCCTTTGCAAATTGTGTGAGTGTTCCAACAATATGAGTAGTCGCAAATTGCTGAAGCAACATCTGACACCGACCCTAACGAGCTCGCACTAAGGAGGAGGTGGCAAAGAGTGTCCGCTCTTTACATCCAAGCAGGACGGGAGCCGGTGGCCTACCTGGAAGGTGATGCCATCAAGCAGGGGCCGGAAGGAGGCCAGCGGGCGCGCGCGGTCGGCGGTGTAGAAGAAGCGCGCGTCCTCGTACCGGGCCCTGCGTCATGCACAACAGCCAGCGAGAATCAGGCCACCAGCCAGGCCCTGAACCATTTCAGAGGAGCCGGATGGCAGGCCTCGGGGGGCGGCCCATGTCTTGCGGCTGTTTGGTGACACGTGGCACTGCAAGACTGCACGATTGCTGCACAGGCCGGGATAAGTCGGCCGAGCGGCCCCGTGCCGCCGGTAAGGCTTACCGGAGAACGGCCTCGTTCCCGTGGCGCACAACGTCCAGGTCAACCGGGCCGTTGGCCACCTGCGGGAATATGGGGGACGTAAGATGCTTAAGGGGTGGACAAGGGAACGGAGGGGGAGGGACGACGAACACACTGGCACGAGGCACAAGGCGGGCACGCCGGAGCTCGAAGCAGATGACGATGACATGCGGCAGCCTCAGGAGCAAGTGAGGTCGGCGCGGGTCGGCGGCCTGACCGTGACGAAGGCGGGCTTGAGCTGGCCGGTGGCGGCGTCCTCGACGGGGAAGTAGCGCTGGTGCTTGCGCATCACGGTGGTCAGCACCTCGCGCGGGAGCGTTAAAAACGCCGCGTCGAACGTGCCCAGCAGCGGCGCAGGCGCCTCTACCAAGTACGCCACCTGCACCCACCGAAACCCCGCTCAGCCTAGCGCACAGAACGCTCTGGTGCAATAGCCGGCCCCGGCCGACGTGTGACGAATGCCATAAATCCGCTCAGAGGGGCAGGGCTCCGAGTGGGAGGCCCGAGGGCAGGCAAGCAGGCGACGTTTTGCAGCGGCACTCATGGAAATGGTGTGCAACTGACGGATGACCAGCTCTGCCTGCCCGCCCAGGTGTGCGGCGCCGGCTTCAGCATGAGGCCAAATGGGTGCTCACCTCCTCCAGCAAGTCCCCTCGTGCATTATCCGGTATGCGGCCCCCAATTTCGCTAGCTAACCTACTAGCGGCCTCCCAGATGCTCGTGCTGCGCTCCTGCACAACCGGCCGAAGACGGGTCAGAAGAAGGTAGAATACAGGTTCAGAGTTCGTCCTGATCTTGCCGCCCCTATAAAAGATGCGTGAACGAGTTGCTCGACGCTATGCCTTCGAGCAATATGTCGTTCACAACCCTGCTATACTCTAATGATTTCGATCAAGGACCATCCCGTTGCGGTGCGGCAACTCACCTCGCCGTCCACCTGCAGCCCGGCGGCCTCCATGCTGGCAATATACTCCTCCGCCGATGCAACGCTTTGCTCTGTCTCGTCAGCATTCCGCAAAAGCCGCGTCCCCCGACCACTGCAACGAAAGCGGAGACCCATTGGTGATGAAAGGAACCAGCAGGCAGGTCTTTTGTGATCACCACAGCGCCTGCATGTCTCCATGGAGGGATGCAGAAGCCCTGTTATTCCTTTTTCGATTAGCTTTAGCAGGACAATCGAAGTTCCTCGTACAGGATGTGTGGGCGGGGCTGCCGCGCTCACCTGGCTGCCCCCCCATAGGTGAAGGGCACCACGTTGTCGCCGTGCAGCGCGAGCAGCCAACGCAGGGGCCGGCTGTACGCCACCTGCCACCAACCAGCGACGGAAACGTGCTTCAGGCAGCCTCGAGCACAGAGTCTCAAGTTCGCTACGAAGCAGCAACGCCAGCAGCTCTCTCTCTAACATAACGAAGCACCACATGATGCTGGCACCGCTAACCCAGGACAGCAAAGGGAAGGGTTGTGGAAGGCGCCGTAGGAGGTGTGCGCATTGCGCATGGCAGGCCTGACCTGGGTGCTCCAGCGCATGCTTTTGGGAAATTGTAGACCAGCAACCACGCCCGCCAGCTCCTCGCCCAACACCTGCACACTCGTGCACGCCAGCAGGCCGGTCAGAGAGGATCGCCCCTGGCCGTGGTCGGCACCCCACTTCCGCATCAAACATGGTCTTAAGAGTTTACTAAAAGCTAGCCCGAAGGTAGCCCGAAAAAAAGCTAGCCCGACAAGGTAGCCCGGAAGAAAAGCAAGCCCGACTAGGGTCCGACGGTGCTGACCTGTGCCGCGGGCCGCCCCTCTTGCCGCACGGTTGCGTAAGCATACTCCACCCCCTTTTCTGCACAGCACACCAGACCGCGTCAGGCAGGCAGCTCGGCAGGGCTTCTCCAGTCAGCTACAGAGCAGGGGAACACTAAATAGTCCGCGCGCAACCAAAAACTAGACTGAGCAGGGAACGCCACGGCGGAGAGCGGCAGAAGACGAGGACAAGCAGATTGCGACCTACCGTCTGGTCGGACGACAAGATCGGCAACGGCGACCTCGTTCTTGCGGCAGAAGCCCTCCGCAGCCTGCAACCACAAGCCACGCTCAGCCAGGAGGGAAACCAAGCGGCAGCCGCCTTCCGCGGACCTCTAACGCAACAAGTCGCAAACTCCAGGTGTGGCGAGGGTGGCCTCTTCAGACGCTCCCCAAGCTCGAGATGGAAGGGCCCTTGGCAAAGATAGCAGCCGAATAGAAAGCCAAAGCCTTCCATTCGGAAGATCGATTCGGAAGTCCGAAAACGATGCAATAATCAAGCTAGTACGATTGACCTGCCTTCTTTGTATGACTCGCTTTACGAGCTTCGAAATCCTGTTAAAGGGCAACCGTGTATAATGACTGAGTTTCTCCACGGATTCGGCCGCTATGCTCCATCCACCCTATCACCGGATCGGAAGTGCGCTTTGCAGGCAGAGACTTTTTCCGAATGACCGCTACAGCACGGCAGCTCCCAGGGCACCCGGTTTTGCATGGCGGCGTGCGCGGCCGCACCTTGGTGGGCTGCCCGTCCTTGAAGGCCGCCTTGGCGGGCGGCCCCCGCAGCTCCTCCTCCAGGTCGGCCTGCCGCCCCTCTACGTCCGCCACCAGCACGCACAGCCGCCGCGGGGTGCCGCACACGCGCACCGCGCCGTGCCGCAGCCGCAGCTTCGCCAACACGGAAGGCACTGACGCACGCAGCTGCACGGAACGAGAAAATGCATTGCTCGAGTGGCATTAAGACCAATCAAAATTGGAAAGCGCAACCGTGATGCCAAGACGTGAACGTATGTAAAAGAAGCTTTGATCGCTCGCTGCACGAAAGTGGCCACCCTGCATCGCCCTACGTCAGGCTTTTCAGCCACAGTTGCGTTCTGAAGTACCACCAGGAGACGAGCCGCGCAACACATCTTACACAAGCGCTCGTGAGCCCGCAGATCAGATAGTCCCACCATCGGTTTGCCCGTCCAGACAAACTATCATTGAAAACAGAGGCACCAAAGTGGGCGGGCGGCCCACCTGCTGTATGGCGGCCACGACGTCCTGCGGGGGCAGCTCCTCGGAGCCGATTTCCAGCACCAGCATGCGCGGCTCCGCGCTGCCCGCGCTTGACGTGCTGGCCTCCGGCTGCGGCTCGGGGGGTGGGTCGGTGACGCCCAACGGGTGCCCCAGGCTGGCGCGCGTCTCCACCCACAGAGTGCTGCACTCTCGCGCCAGGCTGCAGAGGGGGCGCAGCAAGTGAGGGGCGCGCACCTGGGAAGCGGCAGCAGGCGGGCAACAACCGGGCAGGTTTCTACGACGTCCGAGTAACGACCAGACTTGGCGAACAGATGGAACAGTTCCCCTCTCTCGAGCGCACTTTCGTGCATGCTGTCCTGCTGCGGAATTAAGCTCGAGCTTAACCAGCTGGTTGCAAAACATGGTCTCGACACTGTTGCAGACGCAGGAGCCTGCGGGGACTCACTTGCGCATCTTCCCAAAAAATCGTTGCCGCTCCGTGACCCCAACCGCGCCCCGAGCGTCCAGGATGTTGAAGGCATGGGAAGTTTTCAAAACGTGGTCGTACCTGCGTTGGAACGGGTGGAAGGCCGCATGTAGCACGTACCTGCGGTGCTTTTCCAGCTTCTTGGGAAAACCCAGCGCCTGGAAGCAGACAAGTATGCTCGAAGAAAACAGAATGCAGAGAGTTGAAAATGCTCACTGGATATCGGCTGTATTCCGAGACTGTTGCAATTTTAGGCGACCAAACGCTTGCGCGTCATCATCCGACACAGTTCAAATAGATACAACACAAGCTAGGGACATGCAGTAGTGGCGTCATGCACGTGAACGGACTGCGCGGGGGCCTCACGCAGGGATGGCGAGCTTCTTCTCGAGCAGCGCCCGCGCCTCGGCCTCGTATAGCTCAAAGCGTTGGCGCGTGCGCTTAACGTCTGCGTGGTCCAGGTTGAACGCGCTCATCTCGCGCCTGCAAGCCGCCACTCAGCACCCGTTAAAGGGAGTCCGGCTTTCAAGATTCTGGACGAGCTTTGAGGCGTTGCGAGAGTCCTACTGCAGATTCTCGTATAGTGTTTCCCACTCTCAAAGCTTCAAAGCAGAATGTGCGCGGTAACGAGACCAGTGAGGACGATACAGCACCTTGTTCAAGATTTCGCAGCAGCCGTGACAGCTGGTCTCCATAGTTATCCTGCCTGGAGCGCACAAAAACACGCGTTTCCGGGACAACCGGTCAAATGAGTGGCTGAGCCTCACTCGTTTTCCAGGAACAGCTCGCCGTATGTGATGCCGGGGGCATACCGAATCTTCTTGAAGTGGTCGACGCCCTGAAAGCAGCATGAGGCACAACGATGAGCGCAAGGCCAGTGCCTCGAACGAGAGACGTCCATTGTAAGTAGGTGACCCATTGACAACGTTAGGGTGGGGCAAAAGACTCCGATGCACGTTCTCGACTACTTGTATGAGAGCGCTTGACAGCAGACGTACAATCACAGCGTTGTCTTCATTCGCATTCAATTATCTCAAGCCCAGCCGGCAGCATCACTCGACACGGCGTCATTGTCGAAGTCGCCACGCAACAATAATCCACCAAATTGTCTTGACAACAGGGGGTCTCTATGCAGACATGGGCGCGCGTGCACGGCGTTCACCTGGAGGGCCATAATGATTCTCTCAAGGCCGTACGTAATCTCTACCGGCACGGGCGTTAGCGGCAGCGAGCCGGCCTGCTGCATGTACGTGAATTGCGTCACCTCCATGCCGTCCATCCACACCTCCCACCCCAGGCCCCACGCGCCCAGCACCTGCACGCATCAATACAAAGCCCACATCGCATAAGTGCGTTTCCAAGAGGACCGGAAGGCACCCTTTCGGGAAATATAATTGCAGTCCTCAGACGGTCTTGTGTAAGTTCGAGAGCAATCAAAGCCCAGAAAGCACGAACAGCGGAGCCTGCTGCGTGAGTATATCAACATGGTTATTCCTCCCGGTTCAGTTCTTCGAAACGACGACGTTTCAGCGTCTCCTACAGTGTTTTGCAGGCTTACCGGTGACTCCCAGTTGTCCTCAACGAACCGGATGTCGTGGGCACGGGTGTTGATACCTGCGAACCACCGATTGCTTTCATAATCGGCTATCGAAGGATCGTTTGCAGAAGAGAAACAAAAGCACGGCCCCAGTCAAGAGTCCTCAGAGAACGAGGTCAGACTACTGAGGTGCTGCCTCGTTCGATTCCCCTGTCCGAGCTAAGATTCACGCTGCTGGGCAGCGAGCTATATGCAAGAGTACGGTCCGTCGAGGGCTCACCAAGTGCTGCCAGGCTGCCTAGGTAGAGCTCCTGAGAGTTGCCTGGATCCGGCTTCAAAATCACCTGCATCAGCGAGGAACGCTAGGGCTCAATACCACATTGAGTTTCAAGGGCTGGATGGAGCGAAGCGACTTAAGTTCTAGATATATACGGAGGACGTGTCCAGGCGGTTATCTGCTGATACGAGAAGAGGCGATTCAGATAGATGTCCCAACTCAAAAGGGAGCTCACCTGGAATTGTGTATGCCTTTGGACGCGATTGGGATTGTCACCGTAGCGGCTGTCGTCTGGCCGGATGCTAGGCTCCACGTACCTGCCCATATAATGTGGTGCACAGTCAGCAATGGCAAGTCAAGAGGGCTAACAAAACAGCATCTCTCCAACCGTCACTTCAAATGCTCATAAGTTGGACACACAAACTTAAGGGCTTGGACTGGTCTGGCCTCGTTTTGATGAGGATGAGCGACTCACGCGACATTCCAAGGTTCTGGGCCCAGGATGCGCAGGAACGTGGCGGGGTTCATAGTGCCCGCCCCCACCTGCACAGGATGCCGCAGTCAGCCCCCCCCCAAGTGACTCGCAGACACAGATAGACTGCATCTGTCCTGGCCATAAAACAGAGCGCTGGACGAATCAACAAGGCGCTGCAGCCTTGATATGGGCAATGTAAAACGCTACCCACTGTCGTGTCTGAACGTTGTGTCTGTCCGGTGCCCTGTGGAACGCGCTTGCTAATGCGTTACATAAAACACCTTTCTTTATTGAAACAACTGGCATTGATCCATGGCGCCTGCTTAGATTTGGAGGCCAACAATTTCTGATCCTCGACGCGACAACTTGTGTTTTGACAGCGCGGCCTCACATCGGCTCTATGCAAAACAACCAAAGGGTACCCCACCACCATCTTTTGGCAGTACTGGGCATTATCAAGGGCACCTTCTACTCACCTCGGTGTTACTGGACTGCAGCACCGCACAGCCTTGAGAAGCCCAGTAGGTCTGCAGCGACACAGCGCCACCACTTAGTGGAGGCCACACAGGGAAGCTGCTAGCACTGAGAAAGTCACGGGAGACTGGGCCACACCCTCAGATCATGTCGCATTATATGAGAACTTGACACATCCTTCTTACCACCCTGCCATCGACGTCTTTCAAGAAGGAAGGTCCGACATTGACGGAGGCGCCACATTAGGCTGTCCTACAGGCAGACTCTGAACCAACCACTCTGAAGCCGATGCCGATAGAAGCGAGACAATAGCAATGCTTTCAAATGCAATGCACCACCAGCGCCTCCCAAAGCAGCTGCTCGTTACGTGCATTCTGGAACCTTTTTTTCATATGTACCTGCAGTTTCTGGATCGCTTCTTGAAATGTGGGTGCTGCGGCATTCTCTGCTGCTTGCCCCCTGCTGCTGTGGTGGCCCGCAGCCTCCGCTGCACTGCTGGCGTGCTCTGCCACAGACGTGGTGCTCTGTGACCGTACGAAGCTGCGCCGAGCTTTCCGTTGCTGCCTGCCATCAATCTGAGGGCAGTATCCTTTCTCCCCATCTCTCGAAGCACCGTGACTGCTCCAGCTTCCGGTCGTTGGCCTTCCCTGTTGCCGAATGGCATAGGACCAGGGAAGGAGACCTCTTTCAGGAGGGTGGCATTGCTGATGGACCAGCCCAGCAACACTCCTACAGAAGCGGGGAAGGCGGGCGCACTTCAACATCGTGGATGAACAATCAGTTTCAAACAATTTCAATGTTTTCAAACAATTGAAAAGCGGACCAAGGGAGCGGCGACGGCCGCCGCGCAGGAGCGAGGCGCAGCGTGGCCTTCGATCCGGCCTGGAGGACACGGAATTGCCCGCGCTTCTGCGAGCGCGCATGTTGCATGGGTCAAAAGACCGCCACGTGCAGAAGGGCACGTGACCCTTCAACCTCTTCTTGAGCACTCCCCTCCGATCTCGGACTCAAGCTGGATTGCAATCATGTGGATTCGGTGTTCCGGAGTCTTCTTTGTTGGATTCACCTGACTGTGACCGCATGATGACGTCATACCCAAGTGCAATCAAGAAGGTTCAAGTTCTCCTTCTTGAGCGATGTTGCCAGCACTGGCAGCAGTTGCAGCACCACCTGTGAACCTAGACGGCTCTGTAACTTGCTGCAGCATTTGCATGCACCTGTTGAAGACCTACCCTCTGCCACTGATTCTGCTTGTCACAGCCCATGCATTGCCATTGAAGAAAGCCAGTGATCACGTGCATTTCGTCCCTTCCGCTATATCATCTGAACACTAGCGGTGTTGAGATCGGCGAGCGACTGGGTACAGTGCCGCGGGCTTCTCCCAACATCAGCTACAGGATCCAGCCTGCGTGTTGCCTCTAGTTGCAGTTGTGTCGAAGGCCCTAAACTTATATTGGCGGCTGTCAAGTGGCAGGTATGGCTTTCCTGGTTGACTGAGCAGCGCGTGCTTTTGTGGCCTTGGATTGACAAGTCAAAGCTTGTCTGCGACTTTCCATATTATAGATCTACTGGTCATTGGCATGGGAGATGCTCGTCTCTCAGTGAAGATGCTTGCTTTTCATGAACTGAAGCTCTTGGTGCTTGAATCTGATTGGATCTCATCAGTGCTCCTCCTGATATACTGAGATGAGTGGCCATTGTTGGGAGGAGCAAACTTGAACACCAACGTCGATCAATATCTGGACTGTCGTCATTTGAGGTGATCTAGAGGTGATCTTCCTCTGTCTTGGTGTGAGGCTGGCAGAGGATGCAAATTCATCTATCAGATCCCACATTCTTGCATTCTGTCATCAGATTGCCTTCTCATTTGAGACCCTGCACCTTCATAGATCGTTAGCAAAGCCCTCGCAGAGCTTCTGATAGGTTTCTTTTGTTTTGTCCCAGGCATAGCTCCAAAGATGGCTCCTGACACCACATCAACCGCTGACGCCCTCGCCACCCTTGCGGTGAGCACCCCCGACATGAAGGAGGACGTGAAGCCCCTGTTCACACCAACCCGGCTGGGGGACTATACATTGGAGAACCGCATGGCGATGGCGCCCCTCACGCGTTGCCGCGGTCTCAACATGGTGCCCTCCAAGGCGGCCATCACTTACTACACCCAGAGGGCTTATCCAGGCTCTCTCCTGATCTCAGAGGGCACGCCCATCTCACAAGCAGGCCAGGGGTGAGGCGAAATACAGTTTGCAGAATTGAAGTTTGCAGTCTGCGGGAAGCTGCGGCGAAATCACATGCAGCGGCAGTCATTTGCAACCTGACAGTGGCTCCTCATACGCATTCACTCATGAGCAGACACTTGAAAGGTTGGGGAAACGTTTGGGTCTGTGTCTTTTCGGCGCTTGTTTCTGGTTGGGACGAGCATTGGCGGTCGGTGAAAAGCATCGACAGCTTCTGAGAAGCATCGATGGTCTGTCAGAAGTATCGTGACTGCTTGCGAGAAGCTCAACGGCGGAGCTTTGCCTCTGCTCCAGGTACCCTCACGTGCCTGGCGTCTACACTGATGAGCAGATTGAGGCATGGAAGCCGATTGTGCGCGCCGTCAAGGAGAAGGGCACCATCTTCTTCATGCAGATCTGGCACTGCGGCCGTGTCAGCCACTCAGGTACCAGCCTGGGCCCCAGCTACCCTAATTCACAAGTCACTGCGAGACATTGCCCACCTGATGTCTGTATCTATTAAGCCGTCAGTGTGAGAACTTGTATCAGCCTCCTTTCTAGGATAATGATTCTTGCTAACTAGGATTGTACCCTGCTAAAAGGCGCAAAAGATAGCCTCAGCTTCGCAAGCCGCTGCATATGGTATCCTCCTGTCCTCCTTTGCCTCTTGAACTGATTATCTTTCCGTTTTCGTTCTTGGCTGCAGATTACCAGCCAGACGGCGGTGCTCCTCTTGCCCCCTCTGCTCTTCGCATCACCAAGGTAAGTTGAGTTGGGTCCTTTCAGAGCGACTCAATTTGCAAGCTTTTAGGATTTGGTCCCTTCAAAGATGACACGTTCATTGGCTTCGAAGCAATAAGAGGGGCTCGAAACAGACCTCTGAAAGAGGCAGCTGTGAAGCACGAGAGGCTTGCCGACACGGGACACTGTCTGAGGTTCGATATTAAGATCACCTAACTTTTGAACAAGCTGAAGTGTAATTCATATCCTGACCGTTAGATTTCCTGACCGTCAGATATGCCTCAAATGCATATTGAATGTGTACATTCACTCTGGGTGTGCTTGCCCTGTCCTGAGCTGAGCATAATCGCTGGTCGAGTGTTGCCTACAAATCATTTCCACGCTCTGTCTGTGCAGGGTGACGTGTACACCCCCAAGGGCGGCCCCTACCCTTTCCCCGAGCCGCGCGAGATGACCAAGGCGGACATCGCCGAGGTGATCGAGCAGTTTGCGCAGGGGGCAGAGAACGCGGTGAAGAAGGCCGGCTTTGACGGTGTTGAAATCCACGGTGCCAACACGTACCTGCTGGACGAGTTTCTGAAGGACGAGACCAACCACAGGACGGATGAGTACGGGGGTCCGATTGAGAACCGCTGCAGGTATGCGCCCGCACGAGGAGTGTTGCCTCTGGCCGTGTGCCCAGGGTAATTCCGGCACTGGGCATGCGGGTTGTCTTTGCGATTTCACAGATGTCGTCTTTGCTTTCCAGCCGCTCTGAAGCATCATGAATCAAAAGAGATTCTGCTTCTGCTTGAGCGTCTTCGATCCGTTCTTCTCGAGGGAGACAGTAAAGCTACCCTGCGTGTGCAGGTTTGTGCTCGAGCTGGTGAAGGCTGTAGTGGACAGGGTTGGCGCAGGCAAAACAGGTGGGCACTTACTGCATGCGGGTCATACCATGCCCGGAGCACGACACTCTTAGCACTTCCGTACGAGTTCGAATTTGGTTGGAGGTGCAGTTTGTCATCTGCGCTCTCTCGATGATCCGACCGGAGGGCAGAGCTGACGCTGGCAGGATTTTGTGCAGGCATCCGGTTCTCGCCCTTCACCACCTACTACGTAAGTACGCTCTGTGCCGCCCTCCTCATAAGAAAGCGGTGGAGTGGTCCGTCGACTTTTTTGCTGGCTTCTGTAAAGTCTTTGTTCTTTCACTTGAGAGGTGAAGTTGCAATAATGGTCACCGAATGGGCGTTTAGCAGAATGCGCAGTTTCTGTCTGCGGTGGAGTCTCTGCCGTTGCCTGACGTCTGCTTCTTTGTTGCGCGCAGGATTGCTCCGACAGCCACCCGTATGGCCTCTTCTGCTACCTCCTTGAAGAGCTCAACAAGCTCAACCTCGCGTGAGTGCCTGCCACCCTGACTAACACAGCCGTTACTTCCGCAGAGGTACAATCAGGTGTCGCGGGTTGGTTGACTTCAAATGGTCGACTCGAGCCCTTTACTGCATCTGCCTGGCTTTGGTTTGGCTTAAGAACGCTTATGCGGTGGGACGTGAAGATTTAGTTTGACTTACCGCATGATGAGAAGCGTGGGAGAAACGCAGTAAGCTCGACCGTCATTGGTCTAAGCTTACTTGAGAAGCTTCTTGACGGTGTTGAGATTTGAAAAGTCCTCGTCTATACACCGCTACAGAGCGGCCGCCCTTGCGCTCACCCTTTCCCCGCCCGCCCCGCAGGTACGTTCATTTTGTGGAGCCGCGCATCCAGGGCATCAGCGAGGCCAAGACGGCCGACTCGCTCGCGCCGTTCCGCGCGGTGTGGAAGGGCACCTTCCTGGCGGCCGGCGGGTTCGACCGGGAGAAGGCCATCAAGGCGATCGAGACCGAGCACGCGGACGTCATTGTCTTCGGACGGCACTGGCTCGCAAATCCAGGTGAGCAGACATAATTGATTGCTGGGTCCTTTCAATCATTTAAGCACCTTGAACCTGTCACCTCTTTTTCTCACTTGCGTGAAGTTCTTCCCGCTCGGGTGGACGTCTTTGGGCTTCTTCGCTTTCTGCTCAGATTTCTCTGTCATGCCGACCCTTCCCTGCGTCGTCTTCGCGCAGATCTGCCCCGTCGCTTCCAACTGGATGCGCCGCTTAACAAGGTGAGCCGCAACTTCTTGCGCACGTCATGCTCCGTACAGCTCTCTGTTGAAAATGGAGCGCTAATGATCTACCTTTAGCGGTTTGTTACGTCTCCCACTTGGTGTTTCTGAAAGCACGAGTCTCGGCCTCTCGTCGGGCATCCGTCTAGCACAAACATGCATCGAGGGTGTTTCATCTTTTAAATTGGGTCGTAACAGAAGTGTTATATGAGATGATAATCTTGCACGGGTCTTGTTGATTCGCAATCGTTCAAAGCGGCTACTTTGATTTGCGACGTACTGAAGTGAAAGGCTGCTCGCTGTTACCAGCTGCTTTCTGACCGATGATTACTGTCAGTGGGTTCAACGTTGCAGGCGAGTTGCTCAACGCTTCTTACTAACACCTATCCCATTTGCAGTACGATCGCGACACTTTCTATACGCACGATCCTGTCAAAGGTTACACGGACTACCCGTTCCTGGAAGATGTAGAAAAGAGCGAAAGTACCAAGGCGCAGGATTGAAAGAGCCGGGCGAGAACGTAACTTATCAACTCGCACCATACATTCTTTGATCAGAGCATCAACAGTCATTTATTGATGGTAGTTATCAGACGATTATTTGCGTAGCTAGGTACATTGAAGGAGCTGCTCCGTTGGGAATATTTGATCGGATGCACGCAATATATAAGGACAATTACATCCCTCTTGCAGATTTGCACATTTTGACGGTACATTGTTACTCACGGCTGCTTGTGGATTGTAAGTTCGACCATACTACCAGAAAACCTCGTATATGAACTTTCAACTGAATCACAGTCAAAGCTGACAATTTTTTTCGTTGTCCGAAACCAATGATGCGCTGCATGGCTATGCGGGCCCGTCGATCGTTGGATGAAGTTGATTAGTGATGGGCCTGACAATCATGCGCGCTTATATCTATCAAGTTCTTGCAAACATGCGACCTTTTCAATTTCCATATGGCACTGACTTCGAACGTTGAGCACGGTGGTGCCACATGCAACCCCACGTGAGTGTCAAGTACTCACGTTGACACTTGCCGACTTGCAACGTTATGATGCCAAATGACCCGGCATCGGCCGCATATACACGGAACCATGGCGTCTGGAGCAATCAACAATGAGCCTGTCGAGTTATACATATGCGGAATTTGCAAGGCCGGGTTCATGCACGATCATGAAGCACAATCATCAGTACTAAATGACTCATATACCGTGAAGAGATTGTTTTGAGATCCCCATAAGCGGCGCTGTGCAGACAGGCGCGGCCATATTGCACGCATGTAAGCACTCGTAGCCAAGCTTCAAACAGAGCACTTGTACGTGCTGGAAATGAGGCCCGGCGCGCTTGAGTTGAACCGTACGGGTCCCGTACGCGGACCGCGTGACCAGCATGGTTGAACTTGAGGAATGGATCAGACGAATCAAGCTTAGAGGCCCGAGTCATTTGAGCCTCAACTGCAATCAGGCGTCCGTCGCGCTTTTTCATGCACATCCACAATTGCTGGGCGATCAAACTTGATCAATCGATGATCCGACCTGCTCAGCTGCCCCCTATATTGTAAGCTGGCTCGTGAATATGATTGCAAAGAGGACGTGTCGTGTTCCTCTTAGTGTTCCGAAGTTCCTTACACTGCGCAGCTACGCAACTGATGAGCGGAGCACTTTTTGTCCGGATCTACTGGAACGACGGTATGACTAAGGATGACCAACAATTTAAATTACCCAACATTGCGTGAGCTTGCTAAAGCCCGTGCACATTTGCAAACTCTTAAGTTGTTAACTTGACAGCTGCTGGAATGGCGCTTTTGACTAAGCTTTTCTAATTTGAGGAATTTTAAGAGGGTCTGTTGGGCAGGTATGGTCGCCTAACACAATCGTCAAACCCCCAACTCAACAAAGGTCTCATGCCTTTTCTCTAAGTGTTCATGTCAAGCAGAGATAGAACACCGACCTCACCAATCCACCAGCTTCCTTGAAACTTAAGACTTGAGGCTGACTCCAGGATTGCGCAAACAAGTATTCCACTTCTCCGTTTCAGAACTTAGCACAGAACATCAAGCACAGATAGCGATTGTGGCAAAAGAAGAGGATTGTAATACATCTCAATGATCCGATTTCAACTCCCAGAAACAAGCAGGCGCTTCGGCTGTATGCAATATAGCGTGCACTAAGTCCTCATCTCTTGTGGCTCACCTTTGTCGAACGTCGGGTCGGTATTGAAGCATCCAGGCAGCACATACTCACCAACATTCATCTGCCCCACGTGTAAAAAACTAACACATTGGCCAGGTGCAACCAAGGGCAGCAACAGCGATCCTGTGCAAAAAGTGTCCTTCAGAGCCAGGATGGTGCCAACATGGCACCAGATCAGGCCTGCACAAAATGGTTAGAAGTGTGGAGCGAAGAAAACAAATCGGCGCGTAAATAGGAGGCAAAGAGGCATGGGCGACCAATCTGAGAAGGTACCATCAGACCTGCCGCTTACGGTCTTCTTTGAGGAAGGAAGAAGACGTGTACAACAAACAACTTACTTGAAGACGCCCTGTATGCTTCAATGACTGTTCCCAAATCTCTTGTGAATACCAGGTTGAATCTGCAGACCAGATTAACAGGGCGTCTTGGTTCAAAATGAACTCCAATGGAGATCCCTTTGTGGACCAGAGGTTTTACTCCCAAAAGGATGACAGGCTTTCAAAGTTGAACCCTTTGCAAGCCAGTTCAGAAGCACGAAGCAGCTCATCGCTCTTTCCAACACTTCCGGGGAATGGACCATGCAACCGCCTAGATGTCCGCTCATTGTTGCCAGTTCGAAAGCGATCATTGACCATCCAAGCAGCTCTCTGGAAAATGGATTCAAGGCGAGGAGTTTCAACTGCAAGCATCGAGCAGCATTCTCTGCATAGCTGGCTTTCGCCATCCAAGCTGACTCAGCTTCGCTCATCTTACATCACAGCCAGTCTGCAGATTTGCATTCTTGGACACATGCGGACTTGGAACCTGTAACAAGTTCAAAGAGAGCAACTAACACCATTCTCAAAGTGCCAGAAATTGATGCCGCTCACCTACCTTAAGAAGCTTGTCATGGTCCAGTTGTTTCAGGGTGAGCAGCGAATTCACAAACATGGATCTGCAGCTGTTGCTTGGGTTGCACAGTGTACCCACATACAATCCCACACTTTTGACAGGCACACTCGTGTACAGAGAACGAGGTATTGAGCCAGGATGGCGCTTTTGTGTTGGCAGAGGGTAAAGAGCAAGCAAGTAGAGACGTATTTACAGCTCGTCCTGTACTCCAGGGCACTGACTACCACTACTTAGTAGAACCCACCATATCTGCCAAAGAGATTGGTATGAGCGAACCAATTATCTGAAACACAAATGCTGATCGCTTGTTGAAGAAAAAGTCTGCTCAGGCCACCATGGCTGTGGACTAATTCCTCCAGGCTTCCATCTTAGACAAAGATAGTTGTGTTGGTAGGCTGACGAACACATTGGTGTTGATGGAAACATTCTGCCAAGAACGTAAGCAACGACCAACAATCCATGCCACCATGCACCCCTGGTACATATTGCTGACAGACCGTGTCATATCTGCCTTTTGATACTAGATACATAAGTCTCCTCAAAAAACAACAACACAACAACACCAGTCAACTTTCAGAAGAGACAAGCCTTCTCCGTGCAATAAGCCTGCAACAAGAACTGAACATTGAGCAGAAATGCAACCAACAATGCGAAACATCTGTTGCTTGCACTGTTGGCATTGCAGCCCATGAGCAACTGCACAGTGCTGAAGGCAGCTGAACGCTCGAACTTTCAAGTTGGGAAATCTCGAGTTGACGGCCTGCCGGCGTCGGCCGCTGTAAGATCCGAGTGGTTCGGTCCGTCCGATGCCCATCCGACGGTGGAGAGGACGTACAGGGCGTTCCAACCCACAACTCCGATCTCAAGGGAACGTGGACATAGTCTTCGGAGGAAGGGCCCATTTCTCGGGTTCGACGGTGACGGGTACTGTGGAAAGCCACCGGCCTCTTCTTTGTCGGCGTGAGGGGAAAAGCTCGGCCATCAGTCCTGTAGCGGGGCCTTGGTGCTGTGATGATCTTCCTCCGGCAACTGGTGCTGAGCTTGCCCGAGCTGCCTGGCCGGAACTTGCTTCAATTCGAGTTCGAGCTCCAATTTCTGGCAGACACTCCCTTCTCCCGCAGGTTGCTAAAAGCGCTTGCCTTACACACCCAAACCAGAAGTGTTGCGCCACGTTTGACGTGCGATTCAGAGGGAGAGGGGATAGGTCATTTAGCAAAGAGTCTAGTATTTACCCTTGACGCCTCATGGTGCGCTGCGCCAGCCAGGCCCGCCGCCTTTCAGAAGCAACTCCACTGAGGTGGGATGCTTTGCCCTGCAATCAGCATATTTTGAAATGAAACTTATGATCGTTGAGTTTGCATCATGGTCATGACTGCGCAAGAACCAGAAACATGCCAAGCTGGATGTGTCGGCCTTACCTTCAGCACCGACAGCAGTCTCTTAGCCAAAGTTGCTGAGAGGCTTGTCTTTCATGATATCCTGCATGACCAACCTTTACCATGCCCTTTTTTGGAACCAGTTGTCAAAGATCTCCAGCAGAAAGGTCCTGTCCTTGAAAAAGATGTCAATGTCTTCTGCCTATCTACTCAAGGCTGACACCTTTTGCACACACTCCGTATCACCATTGTTATGCTGTCTCCCTCTTTATATCCTCTCGGACTAAGCACTTGTGTTGTCAGTGTTGGGCAAGCACCTAACTTGGCGAAGCCCCTTGTGGGGCCCTTGTGGGGGTCAAAAGTTTCGTTGCTTCTTATCTAGGGCACAAACGCCTTAAAGTTTTTGGGACAGTTTGTAGTGACACCCTGCTGTGAAACTTGCAGGCCCCTACTCTGGTAGTCATGCCGCTAGCAGTGAGGGGTTTTCCCAAGCGGACTACTTCATCTGCTCGGCCTGCCACTACCCCACCTTCCGTCCTGGAGGTTGACTTCTCGGACAGTCGCATGCCGGGCCTTGTTGAAAGTCCCATGGCTTCCGAGGCCGACAACTACTCATGGCCGCAGAAGTCGCTAAAAGTACAGAAAAAGGAGCAGATCAGGCGGGAGCTGGAGCGGCTTCAGCAGCAGAGGGTAGCGCTGGAGGCAAAGGAAAGGGCGGTGGAGCTGCAGGAGAGCGGGGGGCTGAAGCGGAAGAGACTAGATGAGTTGACAGATGTTGTTGGGAGCCCGGTGCCGGGGCCTCGCAAGATCCCGAAGCTGAAGATCAAGCAGCAGGGACAGCTTGTGAGATCAGCGGAGTTCATTGACGGGAGGATAGGGGATAAGAGGACGGTGGGAAAGGGTCCCCTTTCCCTGGCAACCCAAAGTTTCCACCGCGGCCCTCCTCAGCCGGTCTACCTGGAGCGCCCGGCAGCCGCAGTGAGAGAGGCCGCTGAACCATCTGGGCGGGGGCAGCCCCCTCTTGTAATGCCCCTTCAACCACAGCACTCCCTGAAATCCCCTAAGGCAAAAACCCTCCTTTTCGAGCCCGTAAGCATCCCCGGCACTTGGGAGCTGTTAGAGCAGTGCAAGCAGGTGATGCAGCACCTATCAAAGAATAAAAACGCAGGGGCGTTTAGGCAACCTGTAGATGTGGTCGGGCTAGGGTTACCAAACTACTATGACAAGGTTAAGGAGCCAATGGATTTGTCGCTAGTCAGAGACCGTCTCACCAGGGGCTATTACACCACACCCGCTCAGTTTGCGAGAGATGTGCGCCTGATCTGGTCAAACTGCAAGCTTTTCAATCCGGCAGAGTCATCCTTTGCCCAGATGGCAGATAAGATGAGCCAGAGTTTTGAGTCAAAGTTTGCACCAATAGAGCGGCAGATGCGGGATCTTGGGTTGACGAGTGTGGAAGAGGAGGACGAGCGAGTGGCCCAGGAGAAGGCAATCATGGAAGCAGAGAGGCGGGCAAAGATGTGAGTCAATTTTTCTCTTTGCCACTGTGTGAAACCGGGATTATGCAGTTTGTTGTAGATCTGCTTTTGAAGCAGAGTTGCTGATTGTGCACTTTGTCCGCTGTGGTGGTTGCGAAGCGTTTATATTGCAAGGGTATATGTCAGGGTGTCAGAAAGCCATCACACTGTCGGCAGAATTGACGTCTTTTGATTCTACGATTTACGTCATATGATTGAAGGGAGTTGTTTTTGTCTACTTCAGGCTTGAGGACCAGCAGAAAGCAGTTGCCCGATACTGGGAGCTGCAGCAGCAGCAGAAGGATAATGAGATCAAATCGGCACACCGCGCCCAGGAGCGGGCTCAGCAACGTGCCGCGGCAGCAGCGGCGGCGGCAGCGTTAGCAGAGCAGGCCCGGTTGGCTAAGGAGAGTGGCGAGCTAGAATCGCAGGCTGAGCCTGAACCAGTAAGTGCTTCTTTCACGCGCCAGATCTTCTGCAGAATGCTTGGTCGTTCTTGATGCGCCTGGTTGATATTCTCTCTTACTTTGTTTGTTGAGAGCTTGTACCAACAACAGGTGTCACCCTGTTGTGTCTAGGGAGCACTCTGGCGCTTGCTGTTTTTTTGTACCAGTAGTCCATCCTCTATTGGCTATCACATGTTTTCTAAGCGATGGCCGCTTCCCAATCTGCATTTGATATTACGGCTTTACTGTGTTGTGCAGGCTTCTCGTGTTAAGCGGGAGGCCTCAAAGCGAGCAAACGAGATGGTCCACCGGTTTATCGCGGACCAGAAAGGACCAATGCCCAAGCTAGAGGCGCCCTCCCGTCGGCACAAGTAAGCGCCCGCTCCACTTAAAAGGATGTGACTTTCATGAGACACTTGATCATGCTCTTGGCATGCAGCCGCTTCTTGGTGTCCATCTCGATCATCTGAGGCGGGAAACGTGGCATCTCGGTATGATACAGGGAAAGATTGTGGGTGAATACCTTGCGCTTGCTTCTGGAGCTTTACAAGTAGTTTTCTCTCCTGCAGAAAAAAGAAGCAGAAGAAGGAGCGGGAAGACGACGCTGAGCGTACGCCTAAGGAGCCCAAAACGCCGAAGGAGCCCAAAACGCCGAAGGAACCCAAACCCAAACGGGAGAAGCAGCCAAAGCGGGAGCGGGCAGAGGGGGGGGGCGTCAACAAGTCGGGGATGACGTATGCTGAGCGGTACGTGCTATTACGAGTGCTTCTTTCTCTTCTGCGTTTTCACCCTTCCCTGTGTGCACATGGATGACTTGGACTTAAGTTGTCGCGATGGATCGAATCGATTCAGCTCGTGGTGAGCTAACTCATCAGATTGACAGTCACCTTTGTCCCTGTTTAGCGGGAGGTCGAGTGCGCAGTTGCAAGCTGAACGGCAGGTTGTTGAGCAAGCATTAAGTTGGAAGAACGTAGTTGTCTTCTTCATTTTATGTAGTATCTTTGCGCATCTGCGTCTCACAAGCTGGCTGCTCATGTGGAAGCGCCCCTTGTTGTCGCGTGCAGGAGCCAGCTGCCGATGACGACAGGGGAGAAGCAGAAGCTGGCGGCGGACATCCAGAAGCTGCCGGAGGAGAAGATGGAGGCGGTGGTGGACATTGTGCAGAAGTACATGAACGAGGGCGAGGAGGACATGGTCCTCGACGTCAACGCCATGGACCACGCCACGCTCTGGGAGCTGCGCCGCTTCGTGTCCAACTTCCTCAAGTCGCGGACCAAGTGGCTCCGCCGCATGGAGAGGCGCGAGGTGAGCCGCCCAGCCGGGAGCCACTTTCACTTTGAACGCTTTGGTCCTATTCTTCCTGCAGGAGAGACTTCGAAGTTGTTCGTGCACGACTGCTATCCAGATTGCCTGAATGTTCTCGTCAGGATATTGCAGGTTCATGGTCGACAACTTGCCTGCTGTGAAGGTTCAAATGTTTGCTCTTGGCCTTTTCTTATATCATTCGTGAAACTTTCTTCACTAAATGTTTGCGTTTTTTTGTCTCCTCCAGAGGGAGGGCTACACGCCTCGGCCTCGTGCACCCCGGCCGCCAAAGCCTGCCAAGGAAGGGCAGGACGGGAAGGACGGCTCTGGATCCGAAAGCGGGAGCGATTCGGAGTCTGGCTCGGGCTCCGGATCTGGCTCGGGGTCTGGATCGGACTCTGATTCGGACAGCGCGTCCAGCTCGGGGTCAGATTCGGGGTCGGGGTCTGGGTCGGACTCGGACATTGACGTCGGGGATGAGCATGCGCAGAGCGAGGTGGGCCCAGTCAAGGCGGAGGGCAAGCACGGGGAGAACGGAGTAGCAGCCTCGGACGGGACAAGCAGGGCTCCAGAAGGCGAAGGGGACGAAGGCGGGGGTGAAGCGACGAGTGCGGTTGCCGGGGACGGGGACACTCCGGGCGAGTAGGCTCAAGCCGGGAAAAGGCTGACTAACTTCTGCACACGTGGGAATTGCATTCGTGGATTGTTGCTAGGGTGTGGGGCCTTAAGCGCCAACCTGGTTGTCTGGTTCGATAGGCAGCCTCAGACGCTGCAGTGAAGGGAGCATCGGCCGTTCTTGTGCGCCGTGGGCCCAGGAGGTATCTTTGTGTCGACTCTTGATTCAGGTTTTCAGTGCCGATCAAACAGTGTTAGTACAGATTATAGTCACCGTTGAGGTCGCTCCGGCATATTTCTGCGAGACGAAAAAGTAAAAATGGGGATCGCTATTCATACCGTCGATTCTTGCGGAATTTTCTTAGCCAATGCACCTTTTGCACTCAAAGATCTGCCGGCCGTGTACCACATGACCACTCCGAGGCTCGTTCATGGTGCTACATCAAGTTGGCAAGCTGCATGCCCCATGCACTCCAAGGATTATGTATATCAATAGTATGTGTCTGTGCGGCTATTGCCACCTGCACTAGCTGGACTCATCTAAATATGTGGAGCGATCATATTGGGCATGCATGCCAATGCATAAGTTTCCCTCCAATCAGAATGAGCTTAGCTTCGACATGATCGCGATTATTGTATGTATCGAGTCATCATAATTCACATGATATATGGCAGATCAATGAGTTCACGATCCTGCATGTCACCTTGCATGCCAGGTATATTCATACAGCAAACGACGGTCTGGTCGAAGCTCATGACTTCGCGGTCTCGACTAATTATTATATGATGGCGAACTTGAAATAACGATTATTCTTGCATTCTAGTAGGCGCATGCGCTCGCAAATGTTTCGATCATATCAGTGATCGAGTCCCCATGTCAGACGTTGATTACTTAGGACGCGACGTAGCATACATCAATTTGGCATGGTGACTGCATGCTTGTCTGTGGTAAAGTACGTATCGTATGTTAAATGTCGGATATCAGGATATAGCGCTGGGCCCCTGCAGTCACTGATACCCCTCCGGGCTCCCTGATCGATCGATGACAAGTAGATGTGATTATATTCAGAAACCTATGTTGGCGGCCGCCAATAATCAAGCAGTGATTGACAAAACGAGGCTTCTGGACGTATGCAGCTGCGCGGCCCTGCAGTTGCGCCTGGGACAGCTTTTGATCAATAGCTGGCGCACATGAGCTGTACAGTCAGGCGACAGGTCACTCAACTGACCCCAGACGCGCACCAATCCCTTTACCCAGCTTCGCCTTTATTTGCAGCTTTCCCCAATTTTTGGAACGTCTTTCAAACTTGCCGCTCGTTTCCATGAGTTATTGGGTACATGTCGAGCACTCCTCTTTGCGCCGCCTGCTGCGGTGTGAGGTCATGTAGTCATAGTGTCCCACATCCTGAGCCACGTGCCGCGGCCGAGGATCTGCAGATTGAAGCAAATTGCCGCACTAGGCCGCAACAACTCGCAGACTCAATCTGTGCGTACCCGACCTAGGCGGATACAAGACTTCGAAGCCACTGTTGGTGCGAAGAGCGCTGTAGGCGGAGGATATGCGGCTACTCTTCAAAGGGACCAAAGCGTCACCGCAGTGCTCTCGTTTCGCGACTTTCCAACTGCAGCTCCAACGGCCCGGCGCTGTCCTCCGACTCCAACACGGCGAGCATCCGCTGCTCAACCCGCCTTTCTAGTCGCCGCACCACCTCCTTGCTAAGCTCCCCGGGGCTTATCCTCACAACCCCGGAATCTTCCCGCCTCTTGCTTCTTGGCACCCTCTCGCCCCCTTTCAAACCCAACACACGGGAATCCAGAGCCGCACTTTCGTTCACTGCCCCCGTCCGCAATCTCCTCATCTCCCGGTCACATGCCTGCACGGCGATCTCTTCCCCGGGCGCTTCTCTGTGCTGCAGCTGCTCCCCCGGGGTCACCTGATCCAGGTCGGGCGACAGACCGATGTATCGGACCTTGCTGCCGGCCGCGATCAGCATGCGCGCCTCGGCTGCGCCAGCTGGCGCTGCGGAAAGCGGCCACGTGCATTGCTGGAAGAGCAGGGAGTGGTTGCCGGGCAGCGCGGACGAGTTGAGAGGCATCGTGTTCCTGCAAGGATTGGTGGTGACATTTTGTGTGCAACTTTGGGCGTTGAAGTCAAGCGCGTCACGAACACTCAGGGACTGAGCTCAATTTTGAGATATGATCCTTTCAGATGAGTTAAGATATTTTAACATGAAAACCAAGTCAGGAATCTTGTTCGAGGTTCAGACGTGCTCCGATTCTTCCAAGCATTCTTCTGGGCGAGGCCGGTACAAGTGCTGGTCAAAGAGAGTTTTTACGGCTCGTCTCGAAAATCATGAACGCTTGCACACTCGTTCGTCTTTGATAAATGCAGTATAACGTGAACAAATCCGCAATGAGCTGCTTCAGACGAAACTTTTGGATCTGCCGTATCAATGTTGAGAGTCGTTGCAGCATAGCCGTCCTCCCCTTCCAGCCTTGCCTTCTCGATCTCTCAAGAAGAAAATGAAACAGGACGCGTCGGTGAATTCTCCAGACGGCCGCTCACCAGAACGTGGGCAGCTCCACGATCGCCACGTCATCGCTCAGCGCCGCGCTCCAGTTGCCGAAGCTGTGCCCGTACTGCGCTCCAATCTGAAACAAAAAAAGAGCACGCCCTTGCATGATGGAGTTCCAAGCCTATATAAAGATGCTCGAGGGCATGCAACATGCTCTGCAATTAGGTGTTCCAAAATGCAACGGCGGTCAGAATTCATTCCTCTCGCCGATCAAGGCACCGGATACGGAGGACTGTACGTGGCGACTTTCATTGAAAGATCTTCGTTCAAACATACACTTCCGCCTTCCGCTCGACTCTTTCTCGAAAGCACGTGGCCGTTGACTCCTCCTAAAAAGCTCTTCATCGAGCACCAATTCACAAAGAAATGTCAGAAAGGCTACGGAGATGTACTCCCCCTGGATGACATCGTGGTTGCCCTCCTTTCAACAGTCCAAGCTCGACCGTCACTCCATTCAACCGCTTTAAAGCTCAACCGTCAGTGCACTCCTTCTTTAGCTCGACCGTCGATCCTTTCCGCTTTCAGCTCGACCGTCAGGTCAGTCTTGTTACGACATTCAGCTCGAATTCCGATCCGTTCCGCTCTGAGCATTCCGTTCCTGCGCGTACCTGTACATGCGCGGTGGGCCCGTCCAGGAAGAGGGTCCAGTGCGCGAGCCCCCGGGTGTGCCACAGGCACTGGTTCCGCGCCAAACTCCGCCAGTCCCGCGCGCTGCTTCCGTTTCCGCTGGGCACTTCAGACGCCTCCCATGGCACCACCGTAACCAGCTTTTCCCGCTCGTAATCTTGCAACACATTTCTCTCGCCAGCTGGCATGTACACAAACAAGTGCTCGACGCCGATGACACCCACGTGGTACTCCACAGACTCGACCCACTCTGCGCGTGAGACTGTGGCGTTAATCGGCCCCACGCACGCCGCCAGCTGGAACCGCGGCTGCCGCACTAGGCTCGCGAGCGGCTTCAGCGTGAAACTAGAGCGGGCGACGTTTCCGTCCGAGCTCGTGGGCAGCCCGTTGACACTACCGTCTGTTTCTACACTGTCCAGCAGGCTGAGTGTCACGGGCAGCAGCGTGGCCGGTTCAAGCAGCACGGTATTGGGCCTCCACTGCGCGTCTCCCCGCGAGTCGGGGCGCGCTTGTTTCAGCTGGTCGCTGAACGTTGGGGCGAGGGGGCAGTGTAGCAGAAGCAGAGAGCTGTTGCCCCCCGCCGGAGAGGTTGCGGTCATACGGGCGGTGTTGCGCCCGACCTGGCATAGGAAAGAGGGGGGCACGAGGGCGGCGGCGGTGCCGTTGGAGTGGAGGGCGAGGAAGAGGAGGGAGAAGAGGCCCAGGAATCGGTCCCGGGTCAGCCACGCCCTGTTGAAGCAGAAGCTGGGACGTGAGAAGCAAGACTTGATGCTGCTTCTCTTGACAAGACTACTTCATTAAGGACCATCTACGGTCGTGCTTGGTGTTCGAATAGACCTGTGAACAGCTACTGTCGATTATTGAAGTCCAATACTTCGAAGGAGAACGGAATTTTGATCCTCGCTCGAGAAGGAGATGTCAACCGCAGCCAGCTAGACTGGCGGCCGAGCGTTATCCTCTAAACCGTAAAGCTGCCTTGCTTGAATCGTCCCCATCTACGCTCGCCAATCTGCCGAAGTCCAAGCTCACACCAAGCAGTTTCAGCTCGTTTTCAATCTCTGCTCATTGCATCACCTGTAGATTCGTATCCAGGCATCCCCACTTGGCGTCGCCAGCTCGAGCCACGTCCCATTCTCCCCCCCTTTCTCCAGCTCGGCAATCCCTAGGGACCACAGCGGCAGTGCTCCTGGGCTCCCGTCCTCCTGCTCTTCGGTCTCTGCCGCTGCTCCGGACGCATTCACACTGCCACTTAACGCCCGCCCATAGAGATTGACGGTCACCTCGGGGGCGGTTTCATTCCAGCGATACCACCGGCTGAGGCGCGAGATGCGTTTTGCAGTCAGAGGGGACGACGTCCCATCTGCAACCGCACTGCTCTCCTCGAAGGTTGGAGAAGAAACGGTGACAGTCACACTGCAGCTGGCAGTCACTCCTGCACTGGAGTTCCCCGTTCCGTTTCCACTCCCCTCTATGACCCCTGGGGGTGTGCACACAGTAATACCCGTTTCGCTCAACGCTGTCCCGTCTTTCTCCTCTGTACTCGTTCCATTCCCTGTTGCCCCGAGCTCCTCTGACTGCAGCCTGAGCGCAAACACGTACGCATCTCCGTCCATGAGCAAGCCCGCATTCTCAAACGGCATCCGCTTCTCTTCCTCGCTGAGCTGCCGGAACTGCTCCCACACCTCCCGCCGGCTGCCGTTCTGCTCGTCCCTCACGCCTAGTTCCCGCAGCCGCACCTCCGTGTCCCCATCTTGAATCAGGCTTGCATCGTACTGCGCCTGCCGACACCCCCCCCCGCTGTCCCCCTCCCCCTTGCATCCACTTTCCGCCACTGCCTGTGAGCCCTCAAACAGCCCCCCTGTCGCGTTTCTGTCCACAAACAGACTCCCACTCGTCACTTGTTCCCCCCCCCCTTGTTTCGATCCTTCCTGGTGGCCTTGTTAAGCATCGTCCGCGCAGGCATGCGCACGAGCCTTATTGCAGAGTGGGGGTCATTGGCAAGGCGGTCGATGGAGACCCGTGTTTGATTCAGCAGGTTGCTCCCCGACAAGATCACTGTCATCCCAATGAGGCCCATAAGGGGCAAAAGCAGCGCAGCCGCTCGTTGACGCACGCCCTTGCGCGGGCTGCGCATCCGTGGGCTCAGCAACCGAGGGGAGCGGGGACTGAGGGGGGCTTCTTTTTGCCCCATTGCGTATCTGTTCTGCCAAACGAGATGCCTCAAGCATAGTTATCTGAGGACAGGGGACTGGGGCACTGACATGCGGCCATAGCATTTGGTTGTACGTCCAATCATACACTACACTAAACTGTAATGCTGGCTATGGAAAGGGCAACTTGTGTTCGCATTGATGTTGATGTCTGCCTCCTTTTGCGCAACACTTTGCCCTCTCATTGGCAATGCTGGCCCCCAAACCTGCCCATCTTACCGGTCGCTTTCTCGGTTCTCTCTGTTCACCAACTTCTGGATGGGCTGCCCCCACCATTGCCTGGATATCAAATTAGCGACGCACAATTGAAGCGTCTACTCTGCGAACCCTGACGGCCTGCCCTGCCCATCTTAAGTGAAACCCTAATCTGATATTCTTGATTCCGCACTGACATCTTTACATCTTCGTGCAGCAGGAAAGCCCCTGATCTGAAACCTCAACAATAACATGCCAAACGCAGCATGAAGCGCAGGAGTCCCGTTCACTCATTCTCTTCTGCAACCACAACATGACCATCGCAATACCTGGCTTCCATGATGATGACAATGTTGCATGCAACGAGACGCCGCAGGATGGTCTGAATTGGCAACGCTCTGAATCAGACTTTCTCTCAGGCTGGATTCGCGTGAAATGTATACGCCGGTTCATACACCTCCCGGCTGTGGAACGAGGACCGCATCGGGGTAGCACACCTTTACTTGTTGCCCGGTGGGATCAGCTCCGGCTGCATTGTTACAGAGCTTTCCCATGCGCGAGACCTCTATCTGGCGCTGGACCGAACAGGGTGCGTACCATACTCGACGCACCCCGCGGTACGTACCTGGGCATGAAAAATGGCCAATGGCATGCATAGAATTGCTGCCATGGTGTCATTGCTGGAACCTCACTGTTGACATCATTTAGGTTTGACCCATTCCTTAACTGTTGATAATTCTGCCGTTCTCGCAGGCATACGTGCTGCAAAACCGGTGTCAGAATCTCCTGTACTTACACCGTCCGGACGTCCGACCCGGAACAGGGAGGCTAACAACCACGTCCAGGCAGATTGACGGTGCTGGTTGCCCGACGCTTATCCAACGGCTGCGAAGTCCTGATCTCAAACCCGGTGTCTAATTTTGCTTCCGCTTTTCAGGTTTTCAGAAAGGATAAGATCAGATCTCATTTCGCCCAATGAAACTGCCTTTGCTGACTGAATTGTAACGGTTGAAACATCTCCTTATGTTTTACGACCGTGTGGCTGATCTTAGATACCAATAAAAGAGCAAGTTTAAAAGTCGAAGGGGGAAAACGTTACCCCCAATCTGGAATTGGCACACAATAGCTTCGTCGACACGTGACAGCTATATCTTAGGAAAGGAGCAAGCTTTCTTCCTCTTTTTCCAAGCTGTGTGCCAGCAACCTACTCTCCTACGCGCGCCATGGCGTGAGCAACATCAGACGAGAGCTGGCTGCGCGGCAAAACTTTTTGAAGTCTGCGGTTCTGCATCTTTGAACGCTGCGGGTACTTCTACATCTGACTACATCTTCGTCACTCCTCTTACAGGTATCATTCTCATCAATGCCAAAGCTCTGCGAGAGCACCAACGACTTGCTTGATTAGATGGCTGGCTAGATTTGAACGTGATGATTCAATTGTTTGCTTAATGCATTGCTCTCACCAAAGATGCTTTCTTCTCATCTCGAATTGCTTAACATCAAAATAAGCTGCAGCCAGCTCTCATACTTTGTCAAGAAGTGATCAGGAGACCCATCCAAGCTGTAGTGATCAGGAACACGTTTCCATAATGGTCCAAAGGAGGGTTTACTTCTTAGACGTTTAGAGCGACTGATGCTTATTAATGTAGAATAGTCTAGATTGATTTTGACACGACAGCTTGCAGAACATCAGCTTCA